TGGGTGGAGGTTTAGTGTGAATGTCGGGGTTAGTGTTAACACTCGTGGTGAGGCTGGGTAGGGGTTTAGTGTGAATGTCGGGGTTAGTGTTAACACTCGTGGTGAGGCTGGGTGGAGGTTTAGTGTGAATGTCGGGGTTAGTGTTAACACTCGTGGTGAGGCTGGGTAGGGGTTTAGTGTGAATGTCGGGGTTAGTGTTAACACTCGTGGTGAGGCTGGGTAGGGGTTTAGTGTGAATGTCGGGGTTAGTGTTAACACTCGTGGTGAGGCCGGGTAGGGGTTTAGTGTGAATGTCGGGGTTAGCGTTAACACTCGTGGTGAGGCTGGGTAGGGGTTTAGTGTGAATGTCGGGGTTAGTGTTAACCCTCGTGGTGAGGCTGGGTAGGGGTTTAGTGTGAATGTCGGGGTTAGTGTTAACATTTGTGGTGAGGCTGGGTAGGGGTTTAGTGTGAATGTCGGGGTTAGTGTTAACCCTCGTGGTGAGGCTGGGTAGGGGTTTAGTGTGAATGTCGGGGTTAGTGTTAACACTTGTGGTGAGGCCGGGTAGGGGTTTAGTGTGAATGTCGGGGTTAGCGTTAACACTCGTGGTGAGGCTGGGTAGGGGTTTAGTGTGAATGTCGGGGTTAGTGTTAACACTCGTGGTGAGGCTGGGTAGGGGTTTAGTGTGAATGTCGGGGTTAGTGTTAACACTCGTGTAGAAGCTGGGTAGGGGTTTAGTGTGAATGTCGGGGTTAGTGTTAACACTCGTGGTGAGGCTGGGTAGGGGTTTAGTGTGAATGTCGGGGTTAGCGTTAACACTCGTGGTGAGGCTGGGTAGGGGTTTAGAGTGAATGTCGGGGTTAGTGTTAACACTCGTGTAGAGGCTGGGTAGGGGTTTAGTGTGAATGTCGGGGTTAGTGTTAACCCTCGTGGTGAGGCTGGGTGGGGGTTTAGAGTGAATGTCGGGGTTAGTGTTAACACTCGTGGTGAGGCTGGGTGGAGGTTTAGTGTGAATGTCGGGGTTAGTGTTAACACTCGTGGTGAGGCTGGGTAGGGGTTTAGTGTGAATGTCGGGGTTAGCGTTAACACTCGTGGTGAGGCTGGGTGGGGGTTCAGTGTGAATGTCGGGGTTAGTGTTATCACTCGTGGTTAGGCTGGGTAGGGGTTTAGTGTGAATGTCGGGGTTAGTGTTAACCCTCGTGGTGAGGCTGGGTAGGGGTTTAGTGTGAATGTCGGGGTTAGTGTTAACACTTGTGGTGAGGCTGGGTAGGGGTTTAGTGTGAATGTCGGGGTTAGTGTTAACCCTCGTGGTGAGGCTGGGTAGGGGTTTAGTGTGAATGTCGGGGTTAGTGTTAACACTTGTGGTGAGGCCGGGTAGGGGTTTAGTGTGAATGTCGGGGTTAGCGTTAACACTCGTGGTGAGGCTGGGTAGGGGTTTAGTGTGAATGTCGGGGTTAGTGTTAACACTCGTGGTGAGGCTGGGTAGGGGTTTAGTGTGAATGTCGGGGTTAGTGTTAACACTCGTGTAGAAGCTGGGTAGGGGTTTAGTGTGAATGTCGGGGTTAGTGTTAACACTCGTGGTGAGGCTGGGTAGGGGTTTAGTGTGAATGTCGGGGTTAGCGTTAACACTCGTGGTGAGGCTGGGTAGGGGTTTAGAGTGAATGTCGGGGTTAGTGTTAACACTCGTGTAGAGGCTGGGTAGGGGTTTAGTGTGAATGTCGGGGTTAGTGTTAACCCTCGTGGTGAGGCTGGGTGGGGGTTTAGAGTGAATGTCGGGGTTAGTGTTAACACTCGTGGTGAGGCTGGGTGGAGGTTTAGTGTGAATGTCGGGGTTAGTGTTAACACTCGTGGTGAGGCTGGGTAGGGGTTTAGTGTGAATGTCGGGGTTAGCGTTAACACTCGTGGTGAGGCTGGGTGGGGGTTCAGTGTGAATGTCGGGGTTAGTGTTATCACTCGTGGTTAGGCTGGGTGGAGGTTTAGTGTGAAAGTCGGGGTTAGCGTTAACACTCGTGGTGAGGCTGGGTGGGGGTTTAGTGTGAATGTCGGGGTTAGCGTTAACACTCGTGGTGAGGCTGGGTGGGGGTTTAGTGTGAATGTCGGGGTTAGTGTTAACACTCGTGGTGAGGCTGGGTGGGGGTTCAGTGTGAATGTCGGGGTTAGTGTTAACACTCGTGGTGAGGCTGCGTGGGGGTTCAGTGTGAATGTCGGGGTTAGCGTTAACACTCGTGGTGAGGCTGGGTAGGGGTTTAGTGTGAATGTCGGGGTTAGCGTTAACACTCGTGGTGAGGCTGGGTGGGGGTTCAGTGTGAATGTCGGGGTTAGCGTTAACACTCGTGGTGAGGCTGGGTGGGGGTTCAGTGTGAATGTCGGGGTGCCGTTAACCGAGGGTGCGAACGTTCGGGCTGCAGACGCGGAACTGCCAACCGGAGAGCCGCCGAGCAATGGCTGAGCGTGGCGGTTCTCGAGTTGTCAAAGTGCAGCGCGGACCTGGGATGCAACATGAGCAGATTGTACACTTAAAACTTGCGGAACGTATCCAGTATCGCCAACGCATGCACACATACACACATGCACACACGCACGCACGCACCCACACACACACGCACGCACACACGCACGCACACGCACACACACACTACACACACACTACACACACTACACACACACACTACACACACACACTCACACAATGCACACACACACACTACACACACACTGCACACACACTACACACACTACACACACACTACACACACTGGCCCAGAGTTGATCACTGGCCAGAGTTGATCAGAGTTGGCGCTGATGGTGGTTGTGAGAATGATTGGCACTGTAGGGGGCACAGGGGGAGCATCGGCCAGTAGTCATCTCAAGTCAGTCGACCCGTGGTACCTGCTGGGTCTGCCCCGTGACCTCCTGCACCTAGCCTGGCACAGGTGGAGCATCGGCCAGTCGTCATCTCAGTCGGTCGACCCGTGGCACCTGCTGGGTCTGCCCCGTGACCTCCCTGCCAGCGGGCGTTCGACACTTCACGTGGCCTCGACGTGCACGCAGCCTGGCACAAGCCATTTGGTGACGAGTGGCGGCTGCTGTTGTTGTTAATGATTGGTGGTGGTGGTGATGGGTGGTGGTGGTGGGTGGTGGGTGGTGGATACCGTTATGCTTGTTGATTTTCATCCCACCGTGATGGTTGATTCAAGAGAACAACAAAAAAATACTTGACTGAGAAATATTTTAGTCACAAATTAAGTTACAAAAAACAAAACTGAACCCTGGACCCAAGACTCGGAACCATTGAATGACCACGTTTTAGGCCGAGTGGACCTACAGGAGGCCCGTGCCAGACACCAATTTCAGTCTGAGCGGACCTAGGGGGGAGGGAACACCCATTCAGAACGGGTAACCTGAAGCTCATTCAGTTTAATTTCCATTGATTGAATTGCGGAGAAAGGTGAATAATTAATCACACCGGCCGGGTGGAACTCGAAAGAAATACGCGGATCCCAAACAGAAATTCTGGAATGTCGTACGGGGGCCATCCATTGAGCAGTTACGCAAAAATCTGTAAAACTTGACCCTTCCCACCCCTCTCCCTGTACGCACGCGGACTTTTTACACCTCCCCACCTGCGTACGTACAGCCTGACGCCCCCCCCCCCGAATCCTATAGAACGGCCGATATTTAACTCACGCAGAAACGATTCAAGGATTAATAATATGAACGTGTTCAAGCAAACAGATAGCCAGCCCACCGCCGGCCGCATTGCAGAATGAAGTCGTGGACCGTGGCCACTGATGTTTGCCGAGCTGCGTGATAGCTGCAGTCAGGCGCACGGTGGGACACACGTGACACCTCACCCACAGTTCCACTCCTCCCGGCAGTACTTGTTGTGACGACACTGAACTGTGGCTCATTTGAAGGCCAATGTAGACAATTTATTATCGAGGCTTCACCCCCCCCCCCCCCGCCTTTCCTATGCGCATTGTCAGTAGACCCCCCCATACGCAACCTACGCATTTGGGTTAACCACCCCTCCCCCCCTCCATGCGTACGGACTAAATGGATGGCCCCTATGGGCAGGGTGGACCCGATAAAGAAATCCGCGGCTCCCAAACAGAAATTCTGAAGCGCCGTGTCGGCAGGGCTGGACCCGAAAGAAATCCGCGGATCTCTTTCCGAAATACGTGGAACCATTTAGATAATTCTAATGATCTGTGGCAGCTACACAATGAGATCATGATCGGTGTTTATTTTAAAAAAAGCGCAGTTAGTGAACACCGCCTCTTTGGGGTTTTCGGTAAAGTCACGAAGATAGAAAAATAATGATTTTTTAAAATTATTTTTCTATTTACGCGAGCATGAATTCCTGCAGTCACGAAAGCTTTATTATAAGTCAAGATTTAGTGAGCACCTATTAAGGCTGAGGAAGGGGGTATGGCTAGCACCATGTCAGGCCTCCTTTGTATCCCCAGTGCTGCTATTTAAACACTGCAACAGTCGTTTAAGGCCGAGTGGACCTAGAGAAGGCCCAGGACGGTTCAGATATCGCTCCACTACTGGGTCGGATGTTGAAAGCAATGCGCTAGCCACTGCTCCTCCACTTCCTACACACAAAGTTCCCCCGTGTAGCCGTTAAGGCTTGTTGGGGCAAGTGCTGTTAGCCAGTGGCACCTATGAAGGCCGGAACAGCACACGAAGGGGGTGGGTGGCCAGCACCACGCCTGGCCGCCTTTGTCTTCCCAGTGGCGATGTCTACTACACACCGCTACACCAGGTATCCATTTGAGGCGGAGTCGACCGAGGGGATGCCCGGGACCGGTTCAGATGATCGTCACCGGTGTTGGCCCTGAGCGGGAGTCGAACCCGGGTCGCCGGGTTCATAGCGCAGCGAAGCGCTAACCGCTTACACCACCGCTCCCCAGATACATTGACGCCCACACACACACACATCCACCTATACAGATGCACACCCCCAGGCACGAACAAAAAAAATCACGCGCAAAATCACGCTCACAATCACGGGGGAGTAGGACCACTTTTCCTTTTTATTGATTTTAGTTCTTTTTTTTATGTAAGGAAAATGTCAAATGTCGCTGTTCACAACCGAGCTCCATCGCAGCGCGTCATTGGAAAGGTTCTGCTTTGGTAGAGAGAAATGTTCTGGATTAGGCCTCAGTGTTGGATGAGACGGGGAATTTGTATCGGAGGAGAAGAGGGGTTTTCCGTACTGTATTATTGTAAAGTTAAACTATTCATATTTGTATTTCACCGGGCAGGTGTGTGTGGGCCCCCACTGAGCTAAGTAGAATTTTTTTGTTTCAGATGCGACCTGGCCACAAATGAGAGCTCAACGAAGCGGCTTATATCATCACGTGGACATTTATAGCGGCCAAATACTTTTAAAACGCGTGCCGTCGATTCTATCCAAATGTGGAGGGGGAGAAACTGCAGGACCCGGAGAAAAATCCACGCGACCACCAGGGGGAGAGAGGGAGAGACACGAAAACTTAAAATAGAGAGGGCGTCAGGGTCGGGATCGAACCCACGACCCCCCTCCCCTGTACACCGGGCGAGGTAGTCAACATCTCACCAAATGTACGCCCTTCATTCCCCACCAAATTTACAGGGTGCTTAAAAAAAACAATGTGAACGCTTCCGCTAACTTGCCAACTTGCCGCGTCCGGGGGGGTCTGGAGACCACCTGGCGAAGACCCCAGGCCACGTGCGGCCAACAAGTGGGGGAGAGACTCTTTGATTTGTTGAAGCTGTTGACCTGAACATTTGTTACCATGTTGACAGCGGATCATCCCTTCTTTTCCCATTAAAGACGATAGTCCCGTGTAAGCGCCAGCATTTATTTTTTTAAGCACCCTGCATTATTAATCCACCGGCCACCACCGTAGGGGGGAGAGATCGCCGCGCGTTAACGGGATTGCTCCGTAAGCGACTCGTAGCTTGGAGCATCACAAAAACAGTACGGAGATTAAATTTTGATTGAAAGCTTTCGTGACTGCAGGGATTCATATTCTTGGTTCTTTCGGTAAAGGCACCACCATGTAGAAGGGAAACAATAAAATAATTTTAAAAAAATATAAAACAATAAAATTCTCACGACGTTTCGACTGCAACACAAGCAGTCGTCATCAGGTGCGAAAACCGCAGCAAGAAAATTGTCTATTTTTATTATTGTATTGTTTCCCTTCTACGTGGTGACTTTACCGAAAGAACCAAGAATAGTACGGAGATTACATCGTGACGACGCTGACGACGATGACGACGACGCTGCGGGCACAAGAGGTGACGCGGTGCCGGAGTCGGACCGTGACATTACCACCTTGGTCTAGGTAGTAGCGGCGGCGTCCTCCCCTGCAATGGCAGCAAACACAAACGACGTTTAACACGCGAGAGGGCCCCCTCCCTCGCAGACACGTGTCACCCATCGTTGAATTTCGAGTTTTTTTATTGGGCCATACTGCCGCCGGGGCCGAGCGCCAGGGTGCGTCGGACAAACCCCCCCCCCCCACCGCCCCCCCCTCTTCCGTCGCCGCCCGACGTCCGGTTAAACCAAGCGGTCACGTGATCAGTGCAACACAAGCGCGTCGCGCCCCGGTCACCACGCTGTCCGTGACTGACCGTGCTCGGGCGGAGGAGGGCGCTCCGCACAAACGCCGGCATTGTGGCCGCACGCGCGGCGGATCCCAGCCCCGAAAAACTAAAAAAATAAAATAATCGACGACCGGCGGCAAACTCTCAAACACGACACAAACGCGTCGGCGAGTTGCCGCGGTTCACCTCTCCTTGGGTCGGGCCGCCGCGTAGCGACCGCACGTAATGTGTGTGTGTCGATAAGACCCCCCCCCCACCGCCCCCCGCTCCCACCGCCCCTCCTCCCCCTCTCCTCCCACCGCCCGACGCAGCCACGCAGGTTCAACGCAGAGCCTTCGAGGGCGCGGCAGTCGTTGAGCGTGTCAGCCTAGCCTCTCACCGGCGAATTGGAAGGGCGACTGTCGCAAACGAGTTCTGCAATCAGACTCTCACAACGGCGGCGGCGGGCGATGGTTTCGTGGCGATGGCGGTGAAGGCGTGTTAGTCGTGACTTGGCGGTGCGGGGGTGACGGCGGTGGTGATGATCGCGGTGAAGACGGCGGCGGTGATGATTGCGGTGAAGACGGCGGCGGTGGTGATTGTGGTGGCAAGTCGACTCGTCCTCAAATGAGCACCCGGTGCGATGCGTAAACATCGCCGGGCGTGGTGCTGGCCACCCAACCCCCTCGTGTCCCGCGCCGGCCTTCATAGGTGCCACTCGCTAACAGCACTTGCCCCGACAGTCTGTTCAAGGCTATACGGGGGATCTTTGTCTTTAGTAGTAGCGGTGGCAGTGGTCGTGATGGAGGTGGTGTTTTTGGTTGCGGTGTCGATGGCCGTGTGGGCCATGACGTTAATTATGACGGTGTGATGACGGTGATGATGACGGTGTGATGGTGGTGTGATGATGACGGTGTGATGGTGGTGTGATGATGACGGTGTGATGGTGGTGTGATGACGGTGTGATGGTGGTGTGATGATGATGATGACGGTGTGATGATGACGGTGTGATGATGACGGTGTGATGATGACGATGATGATGACGATGATGATGACGATGTGATGATGACGGTGTGATGATGACGGTGTGATGATGACGATGATGATGACGGTGTGATGGTGGTGTGATGATGACGGTGTGATGACGACGATGATCATGACGGTGTGATGGTGGTGTGATGATGACGGTGTGATGATGACGATGATCATGACGGTGTGATGATGACGACGATGACGGTGTGATGGTGGTGTGATGATGACGGTGTGATGATGACGATGATGACTGTGTGATGACGGTGTGATGATGACGATGATGATGACGGTGTGATGGTGGTGTGATGATGACGACGATGATGATGACGGTGGCGGCAACGACCCTAATAATAATGCTGCTGCTGGAGGTGGTGGTGATGACGACAATGCTGATGACGATGGGGATGATGAGGACCTCACCGGCTTCTTCTTCCTCCTCATCCAAGTCATCGTCGTCCTCCTCGTCCTCCTCCTCAGAGCTGAAGGTCCCATCAGGGAGCGAGTAGACGCGGATCACTTGCTGCGAGACGAAATCAACATCGGCACCGCCGTCGTCAACATCAGCGCACCAACACCGTCGACCCGACCACTAACATGACAAGCGCCACCATCGCCACGGTCATCACCACCGACGACGTCACCACTAACACCCATCAACGTCACCGCTGCATCGGCACGATCACCGCTGCATCGGCGAGGGAGCGCATAAGGGGGGGGAGAACATCAAGCTCATAGCACATAAGAGAAACGTTAAACTGGCACGGAGGCAAACACAACAGGAAGATGAGAGACGAAAAAATCACGTGATGTTGGCCGGCTGGTTTTGCATCACGTTAATTTTCTTAAGTTTGTTGAGTTTTCGTCTCTCATCTTCCTGTTGCGTTTGCCTCCGTGCCAGTTTAACGTTTCTCTATGTGCTATGAGCGTGATGAACCCCCCCTATGTGCTCCCTCGCTATTGGCGTAATAACCTGATGATGATGATGATGATCGCTTGTGTTGCGTTCTAAACGTGCATGATTTATTTTAATAGAATTTATTTAGTTACATTTTATTTTATTTCTACATTCGTGACAAAACCAATGAGTAATCCTGATACTACCCGACAGTAGAAATAACAATCAAAAGCATCGCCGTGGCAGAACATAAATAACTAAATAAACAAGCTGACAATGCATGACCCATCGCTCCTCCACAGCCCCATCTCTATACAGGCGTTCCCTCCGGTTTACGACAGTCGCGATTTACGCCGTTTGTATGCCACCGAATATAACAGCGCGCACATAAACCCTATCGGCTGTACGGCCTTCTACGCTGGAAACCACCGACAGCGACGGGGAGGTAGAGGGAGGGAGTGGCCAAGAGAGGGAGGCAGAGAGGCAGGGAGGGAGGCAGGCAGGGAGGGAGGGAGGGAGAGAGGCAGGCAGGTAGGGAGGGAGGCAGGGACGGAGGCAGGGAGGAAGGCAGAGAGGGAGGCAGAGAGGGAGGCAGAGAGGCAGGGAGGGAGGCAGGCAGGGAGGGAGGGAGGCAGGGAGGGAGGGAGGCAGGCAGGGAGGGAGGGAGGCAGGCAGGGAGGGAGGGAGGGAGGCAGGGAGGGAGGGAGGCAGGGAGGGAGGGGCAGGGAGGGAGTCCCACCTTGTTGGGGTCCTTGAGGATGAGGTACTTCCCCTCAGGCAGCTTCATGCAGGTGTCGACGATGCATCGCAGGATGCCCCAAGCGTTCTCCAGGTTCAGGTTGATCTGGCTGGCGAACTCGCCCGGCTTGAACTGCTGCGTGCCCAGCACCACGTGGCGCGCCGAGTCCTTCACGTGGTAGCGCGACACGTAGCTGCGGTGGCGGGGGTCAGGGTCGGAGGGGTTGAGGCGCAGCCGGATTATTTCAAAGACTCCGAGCCTACCCTTTAAAACAGGACCGTCACGGTTGGCGTCGGCTGCTTGCGAGCACCTACGAAGGCGGGCACGGCGCACGCCATGACGAAGGGCCTACACCGGTCCCGGCCGTCTTCGTCTTCCCAGTGTCGGAGCTTTACACGCGCCGTACGAGGCGCTCAGTTAAGGTCGACCTCGGAGAGGGAAGACCCAGGAATGGTTCGCACATTCGCCACCGTCACTGGCTGTGAGCGGGGGAATCAAACTCGGGTTGCTAGCACAGTGCACTGGACCACATGTTAAAAAACACCAAACTCGGGTTGCTAGCACGGTACACTGGACCGCATGTTAAAAAACACCAAACTCGGGTTGCTAGCGCGGTGCACTGGACCGCATGTTAAAAAAACACCAAACTGAAACATTTTGCGAGGAGTCATGTCTGCATTGACCACAAGTACTTGTGGTGAACATGCAAATAAAAAAATACATGCTCTGGTAATTACATGATGGTGCATTGTCTTTGAAACGGATTGGTCCACACCAGGAGACGGCTTTCTTTAGAGCCTGGTATCAAACGGTGTTAGACCAGAGGACGACGCCAAAAGGCGCAGTAGCATCGTCAACCATGAGCAGCAGAATTAGTCAGTAACATCGCTACCTGTAGCAGTACCATCAACAACACCATCACCGGCAGTAGTAGCACTGTGTCACCACCGGCAATTATTATAAAAGCAAACAGCACAAAGACAATGCTACTATCTGGACACTAGCCAGTATGCAATCACTTTGCATACCGGTGGCCAAGCCAAGAAAACCGTGTCAGGAGCACCGGGGTAGTCGTGTATCATCGCTACTACTCCGCTGTGGATTGGGCAGCGAGTTGTTACATGCTGTACGACCTGTACAACACGTAACCACAGGTCACATCAATTCATCATAATCAGCCACGGTCAATCCACTGCTAGACGGAAGGTCACCACGATAACCCGCCCAGCGCCCGCATCACGCGCCGCCCCGCCGATTGCCGCCGTGCCGTGAAACAAAACCGACATCTTGGCACGAATCCTGCAAGCAACCGCATCCGCCGGGCCCTGGATGAGAGAACGAGAGAGCGAAAGGGAGAGAGAGGGAGAAAGAGGGAGAGAGAGGGAGAGAGAGCGAGAGAGAGCGAGAGAGAGCGGGAGAGAACGGGAGAGAGGGAGAGAGAGAGCGAGAGAGAGCGAGAGAGAGGGAGAGAGAGAGCGAGAGGGAGAGAGAGCGAGAGGGGGAGAGAGCGAGAGGGAGAGAGAGCGAGCGGGAGAGAGAGCGAGAGAGGGAGAGAGAGCGAGAGGGAGAGAGCGAGAGAGGGAGAGAGAGAGAGAGGGGGAGAGAGAGAGAGGGGGAGAGAGAGAGGGAAGGGGAAAGGAGAGGGAAAAAAATATAGATTTTGTTGGGTCTTACATTTAAAAGGGGGGGGGGGTTACATAAAGCAAAGCATAAAAAAAACGAAATGATGAACGGAGCAAAGTGCTGACTACACCGAGCATCTTCTTGTTTCTTCTGATCGTAAAAAAAGAGAGAGAGAGGAAGAGGGAGAGAGGGAGAGAGGGAGCGAGAGGGGGAGAGGGGGAGATGGAGAGAGCGAGAGACGGGGAGATGGAGAGAGAGAGAGAGGGAGCGAGGGGGAGAGGACGTTCCACAGGGCGAGCCACTGACCCGAGCTTGAGGTACTCGGAGCTGGAGAGGAGGGCGCAGCAGGTCCACTTGGCGAGCTTGTACGAGTTGTTCTTGAGCTCCGTGGCGAGAACCGCGCCCCTCTGAGAGTCCAGCTTCTGACGCCACTCGACGCCGTTACAGAACTAGCGAGGCGGGGATGACAACAGATACACCACACGCGGATTATAGAGAGATATAGATACACACCGATATATAGACACAGATACACACACACAAAGAGAGATATACACATAGAGAGATATAGATACACACCGATATATAGATGCAGATACACGCACACAAAGAGAGATATACACACAGATACAAACAGCTTCTGACACCACTCCCCGTTACAGAACTAGCGAGGGAAGAGATGACAACAGATACACCACACGCGGATTATAGAGAGATATAGATACACACCGATATATAGACACAGATACACGCACACAAAGAGAGATATACACATAGAGAGATATAGATACACACCGATATATAGATGCAGATACACGCACACAAAGAGAGATATACACACAGATACAAACAGCTTCTGACACCACTCCCCGTTACAGAACTAGCGAGGCAAGAGATGACAACAGATACACCACACGCGGATTATAGAGAGATATAGATACACACCGATATATAGACACAGATACATGCACACAAAGAGAGATATACACATAGAGAGATATAGATACACAGATATATAGACAGATACACGCACACAAAGAGAGATATAGACACATACAAACGCAGCTTCTGACACCACTCCCCGTTACAGATCTAGCGAGGCAGAGATGACAACAGATACACCACACGCGGATTATAGAGAGATATATATATACAACAACCGCCATTCGCCACTACGTGGCAGTGACGTCACCACGACGCTTGTACCAAGCCATGTATATACACACCGATACAGACACACACACAGATTATAGATAGCTCAAGCTAGCTAAAGATAACACCGATATATGCACAGATACAAACACAGATTATAGTTGATATAGATAACACCGATATACACACACAGATACCCACACACAGATTATAGACATAGATAACACGCCGATATACACACACAGATACACACAGCTTGTGACGCCAGTCGACCCCCCCACCCCCGTTACACAACTTGCGAGGCGGGAGGGGGGGACGATGGGGAGACACAGATTATGTGCGCCGCGGTGGAGAGATGTTAACTCCCTCGCCAGGTATACAGGAGGTCGTGGGTTCGATCCCGACAGTGACGCCTGCTGTATGTTTGGAGTTTGCGTGTTCTCCCCGTGGTAGCGTGGATTTCTCTCCGGCTCTTCCGGTTATTCCCTCCACGTTGAGAATCAACGTGCGTTTAAGAGTACCTGGCTGCTATAAATTCCCACGTGATGAACCACTTTGTTGAGCTGTCCTTTGTGGCCAGGCCGCCTCTGAAAAAGAGCTACTACAAAGAGACAAAGCTTCTGAAGCCACTCGACCCCATTACAGAACGAACAAGGAGTGATGTTAGCGATACACATCTATAAATACAAAGAGATACACAGATAGACAGAGACAAATATACACAAACACAGCTCCTGACGACACTCCGCCCCGTTGCAGAGCTAGCTAGGGAGGGAAAGATGGGGAGACACAGATTATACATGCATAGAGATATAGACACACACCGATATGCACAACAGATACTGACGACGCTTGACCCTGTTACAGAACAAGGAGGAGATGATAGAGATACCCACGCAGCTATAGATACACAAAACACATTCTCCTGCGGAGGGAGCTGGTAGTAGGAACGTTGGGTTGCTCGGTCAATGGCCAGGGTCAACGGCGGCACCACCACGTGGTGCATTCCGCACAATATGCCCGACTGTGAGGGCGGGCACAAGCCGGCGTGAGTAGGTTAAACGTTGAGTTTTATAAGGGCAGAGTTTTATAAGGGCACCACGGGGTGACCAGCCCCACCCCTCCCACCCCCCACCCAGCCCCACCTTCCCCACCCAGCCCCACCCCACCCAGCCCCTCCCCACCCTCCCCACCCAGCCCCTCCCCACCCAGCACCACCCTCTGCTCCCTCCCCTCTCCACCCATCCCCACCCATTTTTGGATGCACGACGAACGGACACAATCATCTCCCGTGGGCTGGTGTAACCAGAGGTTCCTACCAGTATTAACGGATAGACATTACACAACTAACAAGACCCTCGTTAATTCTGTAACAGAGAGATAGATACACACACAGCTGTAGATACAAATGTAGCGGGTTCACTGAGAGACACACACCAACTCAGGAGGCAACACGTTTTTTCTATGGACCACAACGGGATAACGACATAAACCGGGTCAGGATAGTCGGCACCACTGCCTGACCCACAATGCCGAGCACTAAGACCCAGGGGAAGACGCAGCACGGAGGACTCCATTTCAACAGAGAGCCCCGACCCAGCCTCGGGACCTCCCTTCTATGCCCCTCAGCGTGGCCCGGCTCCGCTCTCGGCCACGGCCCCTTCCGGAACCTTCCAGAAGGGGCCGTGGCCATACCCCACGTGTCCCTACTATCACCTTTGGTCCACATCCTTACCCTGGCCTATCACGTGCCCTTGCCAGCCAATCGGGGTGCTACGTCCTCAGATGCCCCCTCTCTGCCAGCCACCAGCACTACGCCCCCTAGGGACCCGTTCCGTGACATTGCACGCCCCCCACTAGCAGAGAGGGCTACTACACTCCCCAGGTCCGCTCTCAAACAGTAACTGGCGCCAGGCGCCGTAGTGACCCATTCTATATCAATAAACAAATAAACAGATAGAGACACACATAGTTACATAAAACACACAACTCCTGACGACGCTCTGGCCCGCTAATACGAAGCGCGTGTCCACGCGTCTCACCCGGGAGTCCCACTCGTTGAGGGTCTTGATGTTGATGAAGGAGACCTCCCCGTTGGCCCCGGTCAGCACGGCGTCGTGCTCGCAGCGAACGATCAGTTCGATGTCCTCTCCCAGCTTCCACTTGCGGTACCTGCGGGAGGACGGAGGAAGAGGGCCACGTGGCCGCGTGAGAATCGGGAGGCTCGCGACGGACGCTGCTCGGCGGAGTTCGGGGCAGTCGCCCCTCCAGCAATAACAAAGGGCGGAGCGGGGGGGGGGAGGGGGGCGACGCTCGCAACAACGAGCGGAGCGCCACGCGTCCGGAACAAAGCGAAGCGGCAGAGTGGGGGGCACAGACGGTGCCATCTGTCAGTCATCTCAGGTCGGTCAAACGGGTCCGCCCCGTGACCTCCTGCGCACAAGCGAGCCCTTAACAGCACACTTCCCAAAGTGCAAGTAGCCTGGCACAAGCGCTCCGGTGATACCCCTGCCACCTAAGTGTCAAATGGCGGCTGTTGTTGTGAGTGCGTAGGTGTGTGTGTGTATGTGTGTGCGTGTGCGTTGGTTAACAGCGGGGGGCGGTAGTGTAGCGGTTAGCGCTACGCTGCGCTACGAACCCGGCGGCCCGGGTTCAATTCTCGCACACGGCCAACACTGGTGACGATTATCTGAACCGGTCCTGGGCTTCCCCCTAGGTCGACTCAGCCTCAAATGAGTACCCGGTGCGGTGTGTAAACATCGCCACTGGGGTGACAAAGGCGGCCGGGCGTGGTGCTGGCCATCAAAACCTCTCGTGTGCCGTGTAGACCGTCATAGGTGCCACTCGCTAACAGCACTTGCCCCAACAAATCTTAAAGGCTACACGGGGGAACTTTGTGTGTAGGAAGTGGTGGAGCAGTGGCTAGCGCATTGCTTTCAACATCCGACCCAGTAGTGGAGCGATATCTGAACCGTCCTGGGCCTTCTCTAGGTCCACTTGGCCTTAAACAACTGTTGCAGTGTGTAAAGAGCAGCACTGGGGATACAAAGGAGGCCTGACATGGTGCTAGCCATACCACACTGCCCTTCAGCCTTAATAGGTGCTCACTAACGGCACTTTTTTTAAACACCGATCATAATCTCACTGTACATCTGCCACAGATAATCTAAATGGTTCCACGTATTTCGGAAGTAGATCCGCGGATTTCTTTCGGGTCCAGCCCTGGCTACACGACGCTTCAGAATTCTGTTTGGGATCTTTGTTTACGGTTAAACGTAAGACGCGCTCGCGTGCGCACAAACACGTTGGGGGAAGGATGGTTCTCACCTGTAGCCCACAGACGCCACTTCCGCTCCCTGGAGGTCGTCCTCCGTGAAGGGGTTGGGCTTGGGGAACTTGTACTTCTCTGCACCCTGAACACAGCACAAGCGCACACACACACACACATGTGCTTACATACGCTAACACACTGGCCATCGTCGTGGGGGGAGGGGGGGGGTTACATTCTTGAACATAGCCACGCAATTCCGCGATCCGCAAACTCAAATGGGATATAAATTGGTTTTGGTCCACGGTTCTGGACTTTTGTTTTCTGTCGTGATGGCGTGCCGATCTTGCGCCGATCTCGGGAGGGTCTGTACTGGTTCCACAGTCTCGAGTCGGCGTTGGCTGCAGCACCTCCGCTTCGCACGGTCGGCTATGCACGGCGCGAAAGAAGTTCAAACGCACGTGCGTGCGCGCGGGGGGGCGAGTCCTCCGATTCGGGATAAGCTTCTGCCGGCGTGACCGCGAGGACATCCTTCACCCCGTTTGGCGATACGGAGCCACGGCGATGCGTCCACCCGCTGCCTCCCGAGGCGTTTGATGACGGAGGAGGCCGTCCCCTCCTGTCGCTGTGCAACAGTTTGGACTGCCCAACTTATTTTCTCTATCTTCCCCCCCACCAATGCGGCACCGGGCGCATCTCTCTCGGCAGGCCTCTCGAGAGAGAGAGACCGTTGCGGTAAAAAAAAAAAATCAGCGAGTTAAAAAGTAATAATCGCGCGGGCTGAAACCTCGCTGCCCCCCGCTGGGCTGCTGGGAACACGTGACCTGTGACCCCGCAAATAAGGCAGCTTGGGAGGCAAGATGGAGACAAGTTTGGCACGCCATCGCGCGCGGTGCAGTTGAGCGTGCAGCGTGAAAAAATTTACTCTTTCTGGCACTAAAACACCAAATATAAACTTTTTTTTTTTGCAAGGAATCAACTACCACACAACACAGTGCTTGTGGTGAACATGCCAACAAACATGCTATGGAATCTAGATTTAAAGTTTTCGTGACTGCGGGGATCCATACTCTCTGGTTCTTTCGGTAAAGTCATCGCGACGTAGTAGGTAGGAAAATAAAATAAATTTCGTACTGTGTAGGAACTTCCTGGTTACACCACCAGCAGCCCACAGGGGATTATTGTGTCTGTCCATCGTGCATCCAAAAATGGGAGGGGTGGGGCTGGGTGGGGAGGGTGGGGCTGGCGGGGGGTGGGGAGGGTGGGGCTGGGCGGGGGGTGGGAGGGGTGGGGCTGGATGGGGGGGTGGGGAGGGGCTGGGTGGGGAGGGAGGGGCCGGGTGGCGAGGGGCTGGGTGGGGCTGGGTGGGGAGGGGAGGGTGGGGAGGGGCTGGGTGGGGAGGGGCTGGGTGGGGAGGGGCTGGTCACCCCGTGGTGCCCTTATAAAACTCAACGTGTAACCTACTCACGCCGGCTTGTGCCCGCCCTCACAGTCGGCCATATTGTGCGGAATACACCACGTGGTGGTGCCGCCGTTGACCCTGGCCACTGACCGAGCAACCCAACGTTCCTACTACCAGCTCCCTCCGCAGGAGAATGTGTTTTACCTACGCGACTTCACCGAAAAAACCAAAGAGTAAACACGCTATGATAATCTACGATGCGTTGTCTTTGAAACTGATTGGCCTACACCAGGGACAGCAGCCATCTTCATGGCTTAGTCTCACTACGAGTGTCAGACCAGAGGACAGCGCCAAAAAAAAGGCGACCAGCACAAAGACAACGCACTATGTCAGAGCATTCATAGCTCGGGGTGAGCAGCAACGAGTGTGCACAGCACTTCGTTATAATGCCCACAGCAAACCAGCGGCCAGCCCGCGGATGGTCGAGCTACAGGGGGGCGCAATGGGGTGAACTGTACCTCAACATGTGTGGCGTGAATGGTCAAAGCCGGGATAAGGAAAAGCCACGAGTGTAGGTGGCGATCCGTTCGTACCCCACTGTGACATCTCCTCCCCGCGTCTCCCATCTGTCCACTGTACCCCCACCCTGCTGGTTATCCCCACGTGCCCATGTCCCCCGCCCCCCATGTGTCCCTCGCGTGTCCGTGTGTCCCCGTGTCTCCCATCTCCCCCCCGTGTGTCCCCGTGTCTCCCATCTCCCCCCCGTGTGTCCCCGTGTCTCCCATCTCCCCCCCGTGTGTCCCCGTGTCTCCTATCTCCTCCCCAAGTGTCCCCGTGTCTCCCATCTCCTCCCCGTGTGTCCCCGTGTCTCCCATCTCCCCCCCGTGTGTCCCCGTGTCTCCCATCTCCCCCCCGTGTGTCCCCGCTTATGCCTGTGTCCCCACGTGTGCCTGTGTCTCCCATCTCCCCTACGTGTGCCCCCGCGTAAGCCTGTGTGCCCGTGTCTCCCATCTCCCCCATGTGTCCTTGTGTGTGCCCGTGTCTCCCATCTCCCACCCGTGTGTTCCTATGTCTCCAATCTCCCCCCCACCCCCGCCACGTGTCCCCGCGTGTCCACCAGCCCCCCACCGTGTCCCTGCACGTGCCCGTGCGTGGCACACCATCTTGAGGCACTGCTGGGAGAAGTTGTGGTTGATGAAGGTGGCCTCGAGGGCGAGGTTCCGGGGGGAGTTGATGGCGTTCCCTTCCTCCTGCGGGGGCTCGTTGGCCGTCTCGCTCACCGTCAGCAGGTCTGACAGCACGCAGGATACGGCAAGAGTTGAACGCGCCAGCAGCGGTGGGACGCTTTCGCGACCAACATTACCCACGAGAGGTTTCTTGGGGTTAGATCGTTGTGCATACGAATGCGTCGTTAAACCCGCCACCGCCAACCAGTAAGGTCTTTCACGTGAACAGAACGTGGCCAATTCGTCACTAGCACAGCACTTACACCGGTGTGTTGGAGAGCCAAGCCACAACATTTACAATCCGAGTACGGCGTTTCGCCAACGACGACGACAACAACCGCCGCTAAGTGGCGGTGTCGTCACTGCGGCGCTTGCGCCACGCCGGGTGCACTTTTGAGGCCACGTCAAAGTGACCTCCGGCGCTCTGGATCGCGCCCTTCATACTCGCTCAACTGAGGGCGGCCTCATCCCGCCATTCCTAGGGGGTGGGCTACTTAATCCAATATTTGAGGCACTGCAGCCTCAGCAGGGGTCATTCCCCACCTTGCCCCGTGCAGTGTTCTGAACCGAGGGATTTCCCCTCCCCCAAGACCTCGAGAGAAATGCTCTGCAAACCTGCAGATCTATCCCTGGGGGGGGGGAGGGGGAGAGGGGGGGTTAGAGATTGGATCACCGTTCTTTCCCCTGATGGGCGGTAGGTGCGGCACCGCAAGTTACTCTCTTTTGATGCAAATTAAAATGAGAGCGACGGCCCTCTCGTGTGCCGCGCAGGCCTGCATAGGTGCTCGCTGATAGCACTTGCCCCAAACAACAGTCCGTTCCAAGGCTATAAGGGGGATCTTTGTCTTCGTGTATGCCAGCGTTCTTCACCAATTTTCGGTCGGGGGGGGGGGGGGGGGCGGGGGGCGCCCCACTTTCGCCGATAAGACATCATCGGTGCGAGGAGGGCCGCCGCACATTTTAAACCATTGGCACCGCCGGTGCGTTGGAGAATGCGTGTGGGGGGGGGGGTGGGTAGAAACCGAAATCGGAGTTGTCCCTCTTGTCGAAGAAGAGCTTGGAGCCGACACGCTGCACCAGGATGTCCCACGAGTAGACGGAGCGCGTGCAGCACATGAGCGTCGCCAGGATCGCGTCCGTCGCAAACACGTTCCCCTCGCTCTTAGCCAGCTGGGATATCACGGGGACACACACACACACACAAAGATGCACACGCACGTTAGGGTTGTTTAAACGATAAGCGGTAAAACGGTATGTTATATCGGCACTGAGCGGAACATCGGCACAGCGTGTCCTGGCACTTTCATATTCCTACGCTGCAATGTTTCCGCAGACGGGGAAACGGCAATGTGTGTGCGTCTACGCTGAACTTCTTTCGCACCGGCCGCAGCCAACCGTGCTAATCGGAGGTGCTTTGGAAGGACAGCAAACTGAACACAAAAAGTAGTTCTAAAGAAGTTAAGTGTGTGTGTGTGTGAAAGAGCGAGATCTGGTGAGCTCATTAGACAAACAAGGCTGCATTGGCTGGGTTATGTAGCCCGCATGCCCAACCACCACGTGCCCAGGAAGCTTGTATCGACGGATGGAGGGGGCTAAAAGAGCGTGGTACACACGCAAGAGAAGAGATCGGCTGATGTGGTCCTGGAAGATCTAAGTGGCCTTGCCAATGACCGGTACCAGCGGTGTCAAGATCGGCCTTTAGGAAGGAGGCTCGCGAAGGATCCTACTGGGCAGATGGAGGAAGTTGCCTTCCAGCAACGAGGTCAGAAGGAGCGACGCTCACAACAACGCGCGGAGCATCGGGTGGCTAAAACACAGCAGGTTGGCACAGTAGGGGGCATAGGTGGTGCATCGGCCAGTCGTCTCAGTCAGTCAACGCACTCGGGTGTCCTGTGACCTACTAGGACGCTTCGCGTGTCCTCAAAGTGCACCTAGCCTGGCACGAGCGCGCCGTGGTGATGTCGCCGCCACTTAGTGGCGAATGGCGGTGGTCGTTGTTGTTGTTGCACTGAGGAGGAGACCTTGCGGATGACGGGATCATCGGTGGTGGTGACCGTGTGGAAGATTCTCTTGATGCTTTTCAGCGGCTTCTCGGAGCGCGTCGTGATGCGGTCAAACGCCTTGTCATAGTGCTCCAGCTCCCCCAGACACTCTCTACACAGATACACGCAGACACATAGGCCACAATTACAATCATATAGACAAAGACCACCCCCCCCCCCCCCCAATAGACTGTTGGGGCAAGTGCTGTTCGCAAGCACATATGAAGGCCGGCATGGCGCGCGAGGGAGTGGGTTACCAGGACCACGCCCGGCCGCCTTTGTCTCCCCAAGCGGCAATGTTTACACGCCGCACCAAATGCTCATTTGAGGCCGAGTCAAACTTGGGGAGGCCCAGGACCGATTCAGATAATCGACACTGGCATCGGCCCGTGAGCGGGAATCGAACTGCGGGTCGCCGGGTTCATAGCACAGCGAGCCAGCCGCTACAAAGACAAAGAGCCCCCATGTATAGCCTTTAAAGACTGTTGTGGAAAGTGCTGTTAGCGAGCACCTATGAAGCCCAGCAGGCCGTACGAGGTGGGTCGCCAGCACCACGTTTATATTTACACGATCTCAGCCAAAAAAAAAACTATATTAGTGTTATATTCTTAGTTTTTTCGGTAAAGTCACGTTGAAGAGAAACAACAAAATAACAAAATATATATATAAAACAATAAAAAAAAATTCTCACGACGTTTCGACCATAACTCAAACGGTCATCATCAGGTGTGTCGGTTTGCATAAATTTATTTTGAAAACGGCATGTTTATTTATTTATATATAAATAACGTTTGCGTCACGCGCAACGATGGCAGTTTGCCAGGACTAGTCCATCTATTTTTTGAAAAGAGGAGGGGGGAGACGAAATTTGTTTTTATGTATGCTGTCTGAAAGGCACTGTAAGCGTGAACAATCAATCAAGAACTGAAATGATTTATCAAATCTTTCCAATGATTGCTAAGATAGAATCCATCTTCTCGGTTGAAATTGTCTCTGTGTTTGTATATGTGGATAGTCTCATGAACGAATCTCTCATGGAAGCCAGATGGCTTACAAAGAACCTCCGTCTTGGAAAAGTCAATGGCATGTGAGCCTACTGAATTAGAACAATGATCTGCTACGGCCGAGGTGTTGGTCCTACCGTGTTTAAGGTCTGCTTTATGTTCACGAATGCGGTCTGAGATATGGCGTTTGGTTTCTCCAATGTAACTACTACCACAGAGGCAACTTAGTTTGTAGACACCAGGGTATTGTATGTCCGGAATCACATCTTTTACAGACGGAACCAGATCACGGATTTTATGTAATGTGTTGAAACGGACCTGGATCTTGTGTTTATTCAAGATTAGTATTAGTGTTGTTCCTGTTGATACTACTGCCGATGATAGTGCTGATGATGGCGATACTGCCGTTGCTGCAACAGTGTCTGCCGGTAGCGCTGCTGCTACCGACGGCGCCGATTCCGACTGACGATACTGCCGACGCTGTGAAGTGGTGGAGCCTCACATGTCAACGGGCTCAGCCACGTCCACGTATCTCATCTTCATGAGGCGCGGGAAATCCATCTCCTCCTTCACGTCCCAGTCGCTGCGGACCTCCACGGAGGAGTCGCGTGGCTTCTGCTGCTCGCGCGCAGACACACGGACGAGGGGATGCAGGCAGAGAAACGCATTAGCGGAGCCGTAGATATGTAGTGGGCTTCCGGAGACACTTCGGGTAGGTAACTTCTTTATTGCAACACAGCACTCCGACAGTCCTCCTCACACACCGACACAGCCTGGGGGACACAGCCTACTCCTAGCGTGCCGTGACACTGGCAATGCTCTAGGGTCCTCGGGCTATAGTCACCCTAGGGGAGGCTACCCTGACCCCACCCAGCCAAGGTGCGGGTCTAGACTCTGGCTTCCTCGGCCCCGCGCCCTTACAAGGGCAGCGGGGCCGGGAGTCCCAGAGTCCCACCACCGGCCAGCGAGTCGAGGGGGTCCAGGGTCCTATCTAGCTGCTGGTATTCGGCTTTCAACTGGTCCCAGATCGGCTGGGGAGGTCCCCTTTGATGCCCCTTGCCCATCGAGGGGTGGGGCTGCGAGGGATCCTAGACCCCCCGCAGCCCTCCCGCCCCCGTTGGGGGCGTCGAGGGGCTTAGCTGTCTGGGGATCCCGAGCCCACAGCAGCCCCCAGCAGCCCCTCCCCTCTTGGGCTGGCGCTGCAGCCCCTCCCCCCTGACGGTACGAGGTGCCGTTCCAACTATGGTGCTACAGATATGTACAGGAACACACACCGAGATAACAGACAACAGGCGAGAAAGCACACACACGGATACAGACAGAGATAAACACGTCAGGATGTAGAGACACACACAGAGATGTACAGAGACGGATCTACATAGAGATACACGTGTACCAGAGATGTAGAGTATACAGCGAGAGATGCAAGCACACACAGATACAGTAAAACCTTGGATCGCGAGTAACTTGGCCTGCGAGTGTTTTGCAAGACGAGCAAAAAATTGTAAATAAATATTAATTTGATAAACGAGCGAGGGTCTTGCACTATGAGTAGTGTACGTGTACACGCTTTGTACTGCCGAACGTCACGTGATCACAACTGATGTACGAGTGCTTTGGATTACAAACACATTTCCGGAACAAAATATTCTCGCAATCCAAGGTTCTACTGTAAACACATTCAGATACACACACAGAGCACACTCACTGAGATACATAACAAAGACATATACTCCCCGTAGAGCCTTTAAACAGACTGTTGAGGCAAAGTGCTGTTAGCGAGTGGCACCTATCAAGGCCAACAATGCACGCAGGGGGGAGGGGGGTGGGTCGGTGGCCAGCACCACGCAAAAACAAAGATCCCCCGTGTAGCCTTAACAGACTGTAGGGGCAAGTGCTGTTAGCGAGCACCTATAGAAGGCCAGAACGGTATATGATGGGTGGCCAGCACCCCGCCCGACCGCCTTTGTCTCCCCAGTGGCGATGTTTACACACCGCACCAGGTACTCATGTGAGGCCGAGTCGACCTAGGGGAGGCCCAGGACCTGTTCAGATAATCGTCATGGGTGTTGGCTGTGAGCGGGAATCAAACCCAGGTTGCCGGGTTCATAGCGCAGCGCGCTAACTGCTACCCCACCGCTCCCCACAACACCACACACACACAAACAACAAGACAACAACGACGACCACTTGATGGTCTTACCTGCCCCTTCTGATCCCATCTTTGTCTCCCTCCAAACTGCTTCTGCAGTTTCTGAATCCTTTGCCGGTCTCTAACACACACACACCCGCCACGCGCACACACACGCACACACAAACGCCATGCACACACACGCACACACACACGCGCCACGCACACACACACACGCCACGCACACACACGGACACGGCCCACAGTCAACGACGAGTCCCATGAAGGGCGACAGCTGCGTCACGTGCAACAGAATGGCCACCGGGCAACGACGATTCGTAACAAGGGCGGACCTCTCCTTCTGCTTGGCGCTCTTGGACAGGGTCTGCATGTTCAGCGCCTGCATCTGCAGCCTGCGCTCCTTCTCACGGCGCATGTTCCGTTGCTGCAGAGAGAGAGACACACACAACAGCGTGTTACGGGTGGCGGTAGTGTTAGGCGTAGCGCTAGGGGGGAGTGTTCGAGGCAGGGATAGTGTTAGAGGTGCAAGGTTCAGGTTTGGGCTAGAAGTAGTGGTATTCTTGGCAGGGCTAGAGTTGGGGGTATGTTAGGGGCAGGGGTAGTTGCTAGAGGTAGTGTTAGGCGCAAGGTTCAAGTTGAGGCTAGAAGTACAGTAAATCCTTGGATTGCGAGCATAATTCGTTCCGGAAACGTGTTTGTAATCCAAAGCACTCGTATATCAAAGCACTCGTATATCAGTTATTAGGGCTAGTGGTAGGGGTTGTATTAAGGGTAATCGTGGAGTAAAAAGTAGTTGTGTTGGTCACGGGGCGAGTGCTAGAGGTGTTAAGGAGAAAAGTACGCGTGTGTTATGCAAACACGTGTGGATGCATATACATAAACATGTATCAGGTTAACACGCAGGCTTTCTTAAATGTTGAAGTGTGTTTACTCTGGAACACACCGGTAATGCTGAACCAGTAACGAATTCACAAGGTTCGGTTTACGTGACAAACCTTACTAAAAGACTGTGTTGGGTTGTGGCGGGTTTAATGACACATTTATGTTTACGCGATCCTACCCCCGCCAACAAAAGCTATGGATACAAATCTACGTACGTAGACACACCGGTCAATCCCTTATCAGTGCCCTACCTTATTACGGAGCAACTCGGACCTTATTGGTCACCCCGTGCCCCTTATCAATCTCAACGTTCATCCTCCAAAGTCCCATCACAAACGGCTGTACGCCGTGTGGACCTGAAATACTCAATTTCCCTGTACGAGAAAACGGCTAAACCGTATGGGTTGACAACTATGGGTAGATGTGTGTGCACACACACACACGCACGTGTGTGTTTACGTATACACGTGCGCGTGCGTCTGCACAAGACCTGCGTGAACTTCATCCGGTTCTTCTGGAAGATGGATTTCTGCACGCGGGTGGTGTCCACCAGCTGGAAGCTGCCCTCATCCTCCTCGTGGAAGTACGCGTACTGACTACCCCCGCCAAACTGGGACGAATATTTGTCTACTCAGGCGCGCAAACACACACACACACAGATATACTCCCACATAACACACCGACATATTCCGAGTCGCACACACACAGCAGTAATCTTGCACACATTAATTGTACAACCTTTCACGCAAAAAGCTGCGATGAGTCATTATGCACAGGAGCACTCCCGATTATCCGCGCTAATGACGGCGAGGACGGCCGCTGATAATTCCAAATCGCGGAAAATCCAAATTTATTAACATTTTCCGCCAGATCTCTGTGCCAAAATCCACGAACATCGGCAAAAGTTTCGATTGAGAATGAATATGACCGACCGACCGATGTGCGTGTTCAGTAATAACACTTTCCTGTTCCCGCCCAGCAGAAGGCTCGACCCACTAAGTGGAGAGCAGAGCCGCGCCAATCAACATCAATCAAACTCCGCCCCACCGTCGTAAAGATGTGGCAACTACTGTACTGCAGGGGCGATCACGTGGATTTCGGATTAACCCGAGAAACATTTTTCTTCCGTTTAAGCGCGCGACTTGTAATAAACATTTTCAAGAATAAAGATGTATAACTGCTTTAAGATTATTAATTTGGGCTCAAGTAAAAATCCATGAGTTGTTAATGTCAAAATCTCAGGTGCACAGTTAATGCCGCAAATCAGACAAACCACATGCGGATAATGGGAGTCCACTGTATTGCTGAGCCTCAGACAGAAAACGACCAGCGACAAACAGCACCATTAAAGCTGTAATCGTTGAGTGTTGACGCTTTTCTCGAATTGAGCAAAGTCACAAGAGCTTGGGAAAAGAAACGACGGGACGGAAATCCCAAGTGTGGAGTAGTGCGAGTAAATTAAGCGGATACGGCAAGTGGGTGTGACCTGCAGTGTGGCGAGTAAGTTCGTGAGTAAATGTTTTTTTTTTTACAAAGCACTAGATTAATCGGTTAAAAGCATTAAAAAAATACAATTGTTAATGTTTTTTTTTATATATTCCCCCCCCTCCCCCACAATTTGTGAGTAAATGTAATAGTTAATCACACGCACTTGTGTAGCGCTTGTCCTGGTACGTGGATCCGGTCCAATCAGCAACCTGCAACAAAATCACAACGATGAGGGGGGTTCATAATAGCCGGGGTCAGAGGTACTGAGGATTTAAACAATGGATCAGGGTGTCTCTCTCTCTGGAGTTCGTAATGGCAATGTTGAGCTTTCACCTCGAGATCCTGGGTTGAGGGTTCAAACCCTGGGTGTGGGTGTCTCACTCTCCCTCAAGGGATTCATAATGGCCAAGTTGGAGACACTAATCTATCACCGCTGAGATCCTGCGTTGAGGGTTCAAACCCTGGGTGTGGGCGTCTCTCTCTCCCTCCCTCAAGGTATTCATGATGGCCAAGTTGGAGACACTCAACTATCACTGCTGAGATCCTGGGTTGAGGGTTCAAACCCTGGGTGTGGGCGTCTCTCTCTCTCTCTCCCTCAAGGTATTCATGATGGCCAAGTTGGAGACACTCAAGTATCACCGCTGAGATCCTGGGTTGAGGGTTCAAACCCTGGGTGTGGTCGTCTCTCTCTCAAGGTATTCATAATGGCCAAGTTGGAGACACTCAACTATCACAGCTGAGATCCTGGGTTGAGGCTTCAACCCCTGGGTGTGCGCGTCTCTCTCTCCCTCCCTCAAGGTATTCATGATGGCCAAGCTGGAGACACTCAACTATCACTGCTGAGATCCTGGGTTGAGGGTTCAAACTCTGGGTGTGCGCGTCTCTCTCTCCCTCCCTCAAGGTATCCATGATGGCCAAGTTGGAGACACTCAAGTATCACCGCTGAGATCCTGGGTTGAGGGTTCAAACCCTGGGTGTGGTCGTCTCTCTCTCTCAAGGTATTCATAATGACCAAGTTGGAGACACTCAACTATCACTGCTGAGATCCTGGGTTGAGGGTTCAAACCCTGGGCGTGGTCGTCTCTCTCTCCCTCAAGGTATTAATGATGGCCAAGTTGGAGACACTCAACTATCACTGCTGAGATCCTGGGTTGAGGGTTCAAACCCTGGGTGTGGGCGTCTCTCTCTCTCTCAAGGTATTCATAATGGCCAAGTTGGAGACACTCAACTATCACTGCTGAGATCCTGGGTTGAGGGTTCAAACCCTGGGTGTGGGCGTCTCTCCCTCAAGGTATTCATGATGGCCAAGTTGGAGACACTCAACTATCACTGCTGAGATCCTGGGTTGAGGGTTCAAACCCTGGGTGTGGGAGTCTCTCTCTCAAGGTATTCATAATGGCCAAGTTGGAGACACTCAACTATCACCGCTGACATCCTGTGTCAAGGTTCGAATCCAAGACTTGGATGCATCTCACAGAAGGTGAATTCTGGCCACGTGAGGGACACGGAGTAAGCAATTCGAACGAGTGCGAGCAATTAGACACGCGCAGTTCAACGAATCGTGAACCTTAAGACTATTTAAGTCTTGTTTAACAGCGGAATGTCGCATAATAAGCCGTGACTTTTTAACGCATCTCAGCCTGCGGCCTGCTGAGCTAGGCTTACGCAAATATCCCCAGCGACGTATCGAACAAAGTATTAAACGCTTCCCAGCAACCGCTTACCGCCCCGCACGTAATAATAATACAAAAAAATCCCCTCATTGTTCGTTTGTTAAAATTGAAACTTACCTGACGATTATTTATTTACATTTAAAAAAAAAATTCCAACTTTTTTTAGGCCTGGTCATTGTACGAGAAGCCTGAGCAAACCTAAAAATCCCCCCCCCACCCCGCCCCGCCCAAACGCGTTACAATGAACCCATAAAAAACAGACTTTTAAAAAAGCGTTTAATTGTTGCTGCTGTTGTTGTGTAATTATTGTGCAATTCCCCCCCACCTTGCCGAGGCGATCGGCCTTGCTGAAGGGCTGGTAGGGCATGTCCTTAAACTGTTCGGGGATCGCGCAGGGCCCCCATCCGTTGTGGTTGTCCTGGATCAACGGCGCCACGAAATGAGCCATGGCACACCCCGTCCCAGCCGCCTTGTCGAGACTTTCTTCGTCAGAGACGACGACAACGACAACAAAAAATCCCGATCGTAAAACAAAAAAAAATTCGACAAAACGAAAGACCGCTTAACCCACACGCACCACGTTGCCTTGAAAAGCTCGGATCGGTAGGCCGATTCGCGGACACGATTCCGGACCCGGAACGATTCCCATTGACCCCAAACCAATAATAATAGGAGGAATCGAGCGCAAAAACTAATCTATTAGAGTTTAGATTCCACTTGAAGAGCAACGGAGGAATCGAAATCTGTGCCCGATTCCGTTGAAACGATGCTGCGAGTGTATGGATCTTTAACGGCCATTTATCGATCCCCTTCGAGTTAAACGCGAATAACGGACTTCCCCTCGATACTTACGAGGACAATTTATCGTTGACAATTCATAAAAAAAAGATTGCACGGTGGAGAGTGGTGGTGGGGGGGGAAGAAGCAAAATTATTTCGATCCAGTCACCCATTCATTCGACAGGAATCGTTAACGTTGTTTTAATCGTCATCGATTACTTTAAATCGATACCGTCGACTGTGTGTCGGTTAACGTGGCCCGATTCGTGTCGGAAGAGTGAAGCAACTTCAGAATTTACAATTTATAGTGTAACGTATATATTATATAGTATATTATATACTATAGTGTATATTATATATTATATTATATATTATAGTGTAGTGTATATTATATATTATAGTGTATATTATATATTATATTATATATTATAGTGTAGTGTATATTATATATTATAGTGTATATTATATTATAGTGTATATTATAGTTTAGTGTATATTATATAGTATATTATATTATAGTGTATATTATAGTGTATATTATATAGTATATTATAGTGTATATTATAGTGTATATTATATATTATATAGTATATTATAGTGTATAGTATATAGTATATTATAGTGTATATTATAGTGCATATTATATATTATATAGTATATTATAGTGTATATTATATATTATATAGTATATTATAGTGTATATTATATATTATAGTGTAGTGTATATTGTAGTGTATATTATATATTATAGTGTAGTGTATAGTGTATATTATGTATTATAGTTTAACGTATAGTGTATGTTATAGTGTAGTGTATATTATATACTATAGTGTATATTATATTATAGTGTATATTATATACTATAGTGTATATTATATATTATAGTATAGTGTATATTATATATTATAGTGTAACGTATAGTGTATATTATATATTATGGTGTAGTGTATAGTGTATATTATATATTATAGTGTAGTGTATATTATATATTATAGTGTATATTAGATATCATAGTGTATATTATAGTGTAGTGTATAGTGTATATTATAGTGTATATTATATATTATAGTGTAGTGTGTAGTGTAGTTTATTTTAGTATATAGTGTAGTGTATATCATACATTATAGTGTAGTGTATAGTGTATATTATGTATTATAGTGTAGTCTATAGTGTTGTGTAGTGTATAGTGTAGTTTATATTAGTGTATAGTGTATATTTTATATTATAGTGTATATTATAGTGTATATTATATATTATAGTGTAGTGTATAGTGTAGTGTATATTATATATTATAGTGTATAGTGTAGTGTATAGTGTTGTGTAGTTTATATTAGTGTATAGTGTAGTGTATATTATATTATATATTATAGTGTATATTATATACTATAGTGTAGTGTATATTATAGTGTAGTGTGTAGTGTATATTAGTTTATAGTGTAGTGTATATTATATATTATAGTGTAGTGTATAGTGTATATTATATATTATAGTGTAGTGTATATTATATAATATAGTGTAGTGTATAGTGTATATTTTAGTGTATATTAGTTTATAGTGTAGTGTATATTATATATTATAGTGTAAAGTGTAGTGTATATTATATATTATAGTGTATAGTGTAGTCTATAGTGTAGTGTATATTATGGTGTAGTGTATATTATATATTATAGTGTAGTGTATAGTGTAGTATATATTATAGTGTATAGTGTAGTCTATAGTGTAGTGTATATTATAGTGTAGTGTATATTATATATTATAGTGTAGTGTATAGTGTAGTGTATATTATATATTATAGTGTAGTGTATATTATATATTATAGTGTAGTGTATAGTGTAGTGTATATGATATATTATAGTGTAATGTAAAGTAGTGTATAGTGTAGTGTGTAGTGTAGTGTATATAGTGGTGTAGTGTATAGTGTAGTGTGTATAGTAGTGTAGTGTATATAGTTGTGTAGTGTATAGTGCAGTGTATAGTGTAGTGTATAGTGTAGTGTATATAGTAGTGTAGTGTGTAGTGTAGTATATAGTGTAGTGTATAGTGTAGTGTACAGTGTAGTGTACACTATAGTGTACAGTGTAGTGTACAGTGTAGTGTATAGTGTAGTGTATAGTGTAGTGTATAGTGTAGTGTAGTCTATAGTGAAGCCGCTAAAGCATGTACAGTTGATCCTCACGGCGGTACCCTGGGGTACCAAATAATACAAAATGGCCGAGGCAATTAAATATTTTATTACTGGGACACTTTTTTTTTACCAGGGGTGAACTTCACTCCGTGACTCGGGTATCACTCCGTGACTCGGGTACCAATCCGAAATCCGTGCAACTCCGCAATGTCGAAACGCAGCGAGGACGATTACGCTGAAACCCTGAACGCTCGTGTAGTGTCTTGTTAAATCACTCACACCGACACGTTGTAACAAGTCACCTGCTTCCACTTTATTTCACCTGTTCTCACGCCAGTTGGAGGCACTCCTATAACTATCTGTGCGGTCACTTACACTTGACTTCTCCCCGCTCTTATCCATTCTGTACCTCACTTATCCTGCAATTGGCGACTCCTCACACAGCGACTCCGCACTCAGCGTCTCTACACTCAGTGTCTCCGCACTCAGCGTCTCCACACTCAGCGTCTCCACACACAGCGTCTCCACACTCAGCGTCTCCACACACAGCGTCTCTCACACAGCGTCTTCACACACAGCGTCTCCACACTCAGCGTCTCCACACTCAGCGTCTCCACACTCAGCGTCTCCACACTCAGCGTCTCCACACACAGCGTCTCCGCACTCAGTGTCTCCGCACTCAGCGTCTCTCACACAGCGTCTCCACACTCAGCGTCTCCACACACAGCGTCTTCACACACAGCGTCTCCACACTCAGCGTCTCCACACTCAGCGTCTCCACACACAGCGTCTCCACACACAGCGTCTCCACACTCAGCGTCTCCACACTCAGCGTCTCCACACTCAGCGTCTCCACACTCAGCGTCTCCACACACAGCGTCTCCACACACAGCGTCTCCACACACAGCGTCTCCGCACTCAGCGTCTCCGCACACAGCGTCTCCGCACTCAGCGTCTCCGCACTCAGCGTCTCCACACTCAGCGTCTCCACACTCAGTGTCTCCGCACACAGCAGTTCCGTACTCGGCGACTCTGCATCTCCACCGCTGCCTTCACCTACGCTCCCCTGAGACCCTCTCACCCGTCTGTTCTGGGCGGGGGGTTCAGCCATCACCCGCCCGGCGACGGAGTGAGGGTTGAGGTCCCGTTGACGGCTGGAGCGGCAGCGGCGAGACGTCTTCGCTCTTCGTCCCCGGCAACAACAACAACTCCGCTTACGCACACTCCCCTCATATATGCCTCCTCATTCCGAGTCCTCAAGCGCTGCTCCTCGAGCCGCCGCCAGGCCAGCGCCTGTTGCTCCATTAATCCTTTATCATCACACCCCCATCTCTGACCTCCGGTCACAGCGTACCCACCTGTTCGACCTCGGCTGCACCCGCTTCTCCCCTTAATTACTGGCGGTTTGTCGGTGCAAACCTCGTGTTGCAACGCAAACATCTGTCCGACCTCAGTGGCATCCGCAGAAGAGCGCGCACCGCGTATATCTCTCCTCGACACTCGTACGCACCGTAGCGGCGCATCGTGAGTACAGCTCGTCGAGATGAGTCGATTGCCGCATCGCCGACCATCAACAGACTAAAAGTGACTGCATCACGGACATCGTGCGAGAGCCGGGGTACTGTGGAACCCCGGGGTACCGCCATGAGGTTCAATTGTAGTGTATAGTGTAGTGTATAGTGTAGTGTATAGTGTAGTGTAGTGTATAGTGTAGTGTGTAGTGTAGTGTATAGTGTAGTGTATAGTGTAGTGTGTAGTGTATAGTGTAGTGTGTAGTGTATAGTGTAGTGTGTAGTGTAGTGTATAGTGTAGTGTAGTATATAGTGTAGTGTGTAGTGTATAGTGTAGTGTATAGTGTAGTGTATAGTGTGTAGTGTATAGTGTGTAGTGTATAGTGTGTAGTGTATAGTGTGTAGTGTATAGTGTGTAGTGTATAGTGTAGTATAGTGTAGTGTGTAGTGTAGTGTATAGTGTAGTGTATAGTGAAGTGTATAGTGTCGTGTATAGTATTAAATAGTGTAGTGTATAGTGTAGTGTATAATATTAAATAGTGCAGTGTATAGTGTAGTATACTAATTCAGCACTCATCGCTGGTTGTCTGTTGGCAGAGTGAAGCCACTACAATATTTACAATTATAGCGTAGTGTACAGTGTAGTCTATAGTAGTGTATAGTCGTTTATAGTGTAGTGCATAGTGTCGTGTATAGTAGTAAATAGTGGAGTGTATAGTGTAATATACTACCATGTGTCACTCAACCGTGTCACTCAACCGTGTGTCACTCAACCGCGTGTCACTCAACCGTGTCACTCAACCGTGTGTCACTCAACCGTGTCACTCAACCGTGTCACTCAACCGTGTGTCACTCAACCGTGTCACTCAACCGCGTGTCACTCAACCATGTCACTCAACCGTGTGTCACTCAACCGTGTCACTCAACCGTGTCACTCAACCGCGTGTCACTCAACCGTGTGTCACTCAACCGTGTGTCACTCGACCGTGTCACTCAACCGTGTCACTCAACCGTGTCACTCAACCGTGTGTCACTCAACCGTGTGTCACTCAACCGTGTCACTCAACCGTGTCACTCAACCGTGTCACTCAACCGTGTGTCACTCAACCGTGTCACTCAACCGTGTCACTCAACCGCGTGTCACTCAACCGTGTCACTCAACCGCGTGTCACTCAACCGTGTGTCACTCAACCGTGTGTCACTCGACCGTGTCACTCAACCGTGTCACTCAACCGTGTCACTCAACCGTGTCACTCCACCGCGTGTCACTCAACCACGTGTCACTCAACCGCGTGTCACTCAACCGTGTCACTCAACCGTGTGTCACTCAACCGTGTCACTCAACCGTGTGTCACTCAACCGTGTCACTCAACCGTGTGTCACTCAACCGTGTGTCACTCAACCGTGTGTCACTCGACCGTGTCACTCAACCGTGTCACTCAACCGTGTCACTCAACCGCGTTTCACTCAACCGTGTGTCACTCAACCGTGTCACTCAACCGTGTGTCACTCGACCGTGTCACTCAACCGTGTCACTCAACCGCGTGTCACTCAACCGCGTGTCACTCGACCGTGTCACTCAACCGTGTCACTCAACCGCGTCACTCAACCGCGTGTCACTCAACCGCGTGTCACTCAACCGTGTCACTCGACCGTGTCACTCGACCGTGTCACTCGACCGTGTCACTCAACCGTGTCACTCAACCGCGTGTCACTCAACCGCGTGTCACTCAACCGTGTCACTCAACCGTGTCACTCAACCGCGTGTCACTCAACCGTGTGTCACTCGACCGTGTGTCACTCAACCGTGTCACTCAACCGTGTGTCACTCAACCGTGTCACTCAACCGTGTCACTCAACCGTGTGTCACTCAACCGTGTGTCACTCAACCGTGTCACTCAACCGTGTCACTCAACCGTGTCACTCAACCGTGTCACTCAACCGTGTCACTGAACCGCGTGTCACTCAACCGTGTCACTCAACCGTGTCACTCAACCGTGTGTCACTCAACCGTGTCACCCAACCGTGTGTCACTCAACCGTGTGTCACTCAACCGTGTCACTCAACCGTGTGTCACTCAACCGTGTGTCACTCAACCGTGTCACTCAACCGTGTCACTCGACCGCGTGTCACTCGACCGCGTGTCACTCAACCGTGTGTCACTCAACCGTGTGTCACTCAACCGTGTCACTCAACCGTGTCACTCAACCGTGTGTCACTCAACCGTGTGTCACTCAACCGTGTCACTCAACCGTGTGTCACTGCGGTGGGGGTACGCGCGCCGATTAAACACATGCACATCGCTACGTCACTCTTCGCCATCGGCTTCGGATTTCCTACATCGCCGCCCACCTCTTCATATGCGAGGGCAAAAGCGCAGCCCTGAAACTGCTCGCTCATTCCTTGGCTCAGCACAGGCGTGAGGGGGGCGGGGTGTAGAGGCCATGATGGATGACTTCAATATAAACCAATGATGAGTGCCTGTGACCATTATCGTTTCAGAACTTACATTTTATTGCTCCAGATGCAAATTAATTTTTAAAAAATTACCCACACCGACATTCATAACAATTTACCAAACTCCATATCGACACGCAAGGAGACCGGGTCTCAGTGTCTCGAGACTCTGCTCCAGGAGACCGGGTCTCAGGGTGCTGAGACTCGGCTCCAGGAGACCGGGTCTCAGGGTCTTGAGACTCGGCACCAGGAGACCGGGTCTCAGGGTCTTGAGACTCTGCTCCAGGAGACCGGGTCTCAGAGTCTTGAGACTCGGCACCAGGAGACCGGGTCTCAGGGTCTTGAGACTCTGCTCCAGGAGACCGGGTCTCAGAGTCTTGAGACTCTGCTCCAGGAGACCGGGTCTCAGAGTCTTGAGACTCGGCACCAGGAGACCGGGTCTCAGGGTCTTGAGACTCTGCTCCAGGAGACCGGGTCTCAGGGTCTTGAGACCAGGTCTCAGGGGCTTGAGACTCGGCTCCAAGTTCCAGGATATCCAAGTAAGAATACATGGCTTTAAGACCTCACCATCGTCAACACTTTCTTCACAGGAAACTTCAACTTAAACACACTCAATATATTGGAAAGATCCCAAGGCCATAATTTCAAAATAAGCATTCCTCCCAAACAATAAATTATAATGCCTCAATTTTATTTATATATGTATATGCATATATTACACTAACCGTCATTTATTTTAATATTCAAATAATTTCTATCTTGTGCTATCACCAGTGGCCAGGCTGAGGTTTGTAACTCACAGGCAGCTGAAACAGGGACTGAAATCAAAGATCTCAGCCCTGCTGGCTGTGCCTCCCCAACACGGCCATTAGGAACCATTGGAAAGGGAGAGAAAGACTGACCTATTCATCACTGCAATTGTCATTAAAAAATTGTAAAACTGCCCAAAGGCAACGTCTAATGCTTGTCATTAGGTTCGGGTCAGGGTTTTTATGATGGTGAATGTTACGGTTGGAGATGTGGGGTTAGATGTGGTGTTAACGGTGCAACGGGTTTAAGCTAGGGCTAAGGTCGGAGTTGGGGGGTATGATGGAGGTTATCGTTTGGGTTTTAAGTCTGGGGTTAGGAATAAGGTTAGAAGTGGGGGTGAGTCGTTAGCGCTAGGGTTAGGGATACGATGAGATCAGAGTTAATGTCAGGTGTTAGGGTGATGTTGAGGGTTAATGTTAGATTAAGGGTGAATGTTTGGGTTAAGGTTAAGTTACGTAACAACTTGTGGTTAGAGGGTGAGTTTGGGTGAGAGTTAATGTTAAGGGTTAGTTGTTGGAGCTATGGATATGTTTGAGGGCTATGGGTGGAGATAGGAGTTCGGTTTGTAGTTAGGGATTGTTAGGGTTAGGTGTTTGAGCTGGTTAGGTTTATGGGTTTAGGCTAAGGCTAGTTAGGGTTTGGGGTTTAGGCCAGGCCTAAGGGTAGAAGTAGGATTAAACTTAGGGGTATCGATCACAGTGTGTGTTAGAGGTTTAGGCTGAGGTTACAGTTACAGAGAGAGCTGAAGTGAAGATTAGGGCTAGGACTAGGCTAGGGTTAGGGCTAGGCCTAGGTTAGGACTAGGGTTAGGTTAGGGCTAGGGTTAAGGCTAGGGTTATGATTAGGTTAGGGCTAGGGTTAAGGCTAGGGTTAGAGCTAGGGTTAGGGCTAGGGTTAGGGCTAAGTTAGGGCTAGGGTTAGGTTTTGTTAGGGCTAGGGTAAGAGCTAGGGTTAGGGCTAGGGATAGGGTTAGGGCTAAGTTAGGGCTAGGGTTAGGTTAGGGCTAGGGTTAGGTTAGGGCTAGGGTAAGGACTATGGTTAGGGCAGGGCTAGGCTAGGGCTAGGCTATGGCAGGGCAGGGCAGGGCTAGGCTAGGGCTATGGCAGGGCTAGGCTAGGGCTAGGCTAGGGCAGGGCAGGGCAGGGCAGGGCAGGGCAGGGCAGGGCAGGGCAGGGCAGGGCAGGGCAGGGCAGGGCAGGGCAGGGCAGGGCAGGGCAGGGCAGGGCAGGGCAGGGCAGGGCTATGGTTAGGCTAGGGGAGGGCAGGGCAGGGCTAGGCTAGGGCTAGGCTAGGGCTAGGATTGGGCTAGGATTGGGCTAGGACGGGGCTAGGCTAGGACGGGGCTAGGTTAGGGCTAGGCTAGGATTGGGCTAGGCTGGGGCTAGGTTAGGGCTAGGCTAGGATTGGGCTAGGACGGGGCTAGGCTAGGGCTAGGCTAGGGCTAGGATAGGGCTAGGCTAGGGCTAGGCTAGGATTGGGCTAGGATTGGGCTAGGATGGGGCTAGGCTAGGGCTAGGCTAGGGCTAGGATAGGGCGAGGCTAGGGCGAGGCTAGGATTGGCCTAGGATAGGGCTAGGCTAGGATTGAGCTAGGATTGGGCTACGATAGGGCTAGGACTAACGGCTAGTAGGTGAGTTTGGAGGCCCGCGCATTAAAACACGGCTTCTCGGCGAGCGAGTCTTGCGAGCCCACCACCGACAGCCCCCCCAATTCGCCTCCCACGCCCCCACCCAGGACGAGCTCCAGCTCCTGGAAGTCGGCGAGGCGGGTCAGGTCCTTGTCCTGAGACGTGGCGACACACGGAGATACGGCGAGACGGACACGGGGAACGCATTCAGTCCATGGGTCCATAGCCTATGGGTCACCAGGCGTGTCTGTGGTTACTGTTTCCCTGTCGTGGTCACGGCACCTTTGTTAGTAGCGGTGGAAGAGTGATGGGGAGGCGACTGACCGTTGATGCTGGATCGCCATTCGCTCGGTTTAACACGCAGTAGGCTTTTCGTGACCAATATTATCCATAATGTAGGCTTTTGGGTTAGATCGCGTGAATAAATATAAATGTGTCGTTAAACCCGCCACCATCCGACACAGCCAATCAGCAAGGTTTGTCACGTGAACAAAACGTGCCAATTCGTTACTAGTAACAGCACACGCCGGTGTGTTTGAGAGTAAACCCTCTACAACATTTACAATGATAGTATAGTGTCTAGTGTATAGTGTAGTGTATAGTGTAGTGTGTAGTGTATAGTGTAGTGTGTAGTGTATAGTGTAGTGTATAGTGTAGTGTATAGTGCAGTGTATAGTGCAGTGTATAGTATAGTGTCTAGTGTAGTGTATAGTGTAGTGTATAGTATAGTGTAGTGTATAGTGTGGTGTATGGTGTAGTGTATAGTGTAGTGTATATTGTGGGGTATAGTGTAATGTATAGTATAGTGTAGTGTATAGTGTGGTGTATGGTGTAGTGTATAGTGTAGTGTGTAGTGGAGTGTATAGTGTAGTGTATAGTGTAGTGTATAGTGTAGTGTATAGTGTAGTGTATAGTGTAGTGTATAGTGTAGTGTATAGTGTAGTGTATAGCGTAGTGTATAGTGTAGTGTATAGTGTAGTGAAGTGTCTAGTGTGGTGTATAGTGTAGTGTATAGTGTGGTGTATAGTGTAGTGGAGTGTCTAGTGTGGTGTATAGTGTAGTGTATAGTGTAGTGTATAGTATAGTGTATAGTATAGTGTAGTGTATAGTGTAGTGTAGTGTGTAGTGTAGTGTATAGTATAGTGTAGTGTATAGTGTAGTGTATAGTGTAGTGTATAGTGTGGTGTATGGTGTGTAGTATAGTGTCTAGTGTGTGTATAGTGTAGTATACTAGTTCAGCACATGCCGGTGTGTTGGAGAGTAAATCCACCACAACGTTTACAATTCGGGTACGACGCTTCGCCAGTAATTACAACTCGCATCATCAGGCGACAGCCACAGAGATGTGAAGAAATCCTCCTCCTGTTTCGGTCTTAAATAGTGGGTTTACTCTCCAACACACAACCGGTGTGCGCTGAACTAGTATACTACACTATAATTGTAAATGTTGTAGTGGGTGTACTCTCCAACACACAACCGGTCTGCGCTGAACTAGTATACACTATACACTACGCACTACACTATACACTACACTATACACCACACTATACACTACACACTATACTACACTATACACTACTACACACTTGAGTATACACTACACTATAATTGTAAATGTTGTAGTGGGTTTACTCTCCAACACACAACCGGTGTGTGTTGAACTAGTGTACTACACTACACTATACACTACACTATACACTACACTATACACTAGACTATCATTGTAAATGTTGTAGAGGGTTTATTCTCCAACACACCAGTGCGCGCTGAACTAGTATACTACACTATACACTACACTACACACTACACTATAATTGTATATGTTGTAGTGGGTTTACTCTCCAACACACAACCGGTGTGTGTTGAACTAGTGTACTACACTACACACTACACTAGACACTACACTATACTATCATTGTAAATGTTGTAGAGGGTTTATTCTCCAACACACCAGTGTGTGCTGAACTCGTAACGAATTGGCACGTTTTGTTCACGTGACAACCCCCTTGCTGATTGGCTGTGTCGGGTGGTGGCGGGTTTAACAACGCATTTATATTTACGCGATATAACCCTCGATTATGCATCATTCACTCTGAAGTCTCTCCGGTGCAGCAATGAGGTCGGGACTGACCACTCCACCCTGGCTATTACAGCAGCAGAATTTTCCAACTGCGGTCAAATCCGCGCTGTGTACAGCAGCAGTGGTGACTGCTTTTGTAGCTACAGAGACTGTGGTACGGAAAATAAAAGCAAGCTTCTTCAATAGCACGGTCATTCCTTAACCCGATTGTATCTGTGTGTGTGTTCGTGTTCCATGCCTTATGGGGGAGTGGTGGTGCAGTGGTTAGCGCGCTGCGTTTTAAACCCAACGACCTGGAGGACGATTTCTGCACACGGCCAACATTAGTGATAAATGTCTGAATCGGTCCGGGGCCTCTCCTAGGTCGACTCAGCCTCAAATGAGTACCTGGTACGGTGTGTAAACATCGCCACTTGGAGAGACAAAGGCGGCCGGGCATTGATGTTAGCCAACCACCCTCTAGTGTGCCATAGTACCAATCTTCACAGGTGCTCGCTAACAGCACTTGCCCCGACAGTCTGTCCAGGCTATACGGGGGATCTTTGTCTTTGCCTTTAGGTAGTGGTAGTGTGGTGGTTAGCGCTACGCTGCGCTACGATCCCGGCGACCCGCGTTCCACTGCCGCTCACGGCCAACACCGATGACGATGATCTGAACCGGTACCTGGGTCTCCCTCTAGGTCGACTCAGCCTCAAAATGAGTACCTGGTGCGGTGTGTAAACGAAAGTGGCGGCACACGGTGCTGGCCACCCACCGCCTCGCAAACAGCACTTGCCACGACAGTATGTTAAGGTATAGTAATAGGTTTTACCCTTGTAACTGGCACAAAAAACTGACACCTTTATACAAGGCATCATGTCTGCAATAACCACAACACAAGCAGTCAAAATGCAAACAAAAAGAGACAACTCTGATAATAATATTGGCACTGTCCTTGAATTTGATTGGTCCACACCCGAGACGGCTTTTCTTAGAGCCTAGTCTCCACTGGTGTTGGACCAGAAGACGCCAAAAGGCGTACAACTCAAAAACAGCGCACTATCAGAGTACTGAGGGCTCGGGGTGAGCATTTACACTATGAGACCTCCTTTGCCAGAAACAAGATATAGTAATAGGTTTTACCCTTTTAACTGGCACAAAAACTAAAGTACGTTAAGGCTACGCAAGCGAACTTTGCCTGTGGTGTCCGAGTGTACATGCATTTGTGTGCCAGTCATCTCAGTCAGCCAACCCATCGCACCTGCTGGGTCTGTCCCGTGACCTCCTGTCAGCAGCGAGCCTTCGACGCTTCACGTGGTGGCCTCAACGTGCACCTGGCCTGGCACAGGCGCCGTGGTGACGTCACACCGTCGCTTAGTGGCGCATGGCGGCTACTGGTGCGGCGACTGGCAGTGTCACTACTGGGTGCACACACGCACATGACGTCATCACCCGTCTGGAGGCGGGCGATGACGTCAGGCACGGTTCAGGGATCCGGAGAGCCGTGGGTGCGGCCACTGAGGTTGCGTGAGGCCGTGGCACTCGGAGTGAACCCGGCTGGACACGTGACCGGGATCACGGTGGGGGGCTGGGGGCCCCGGGGGGCACCTTGGGGGGGGCCACGTGGGCAGCCGAGCAGCTTCGAGAGGGTTCTCGAAGGGCCGGCCCGGACACGCCGAGGCCGATATAAGCGTCCTCAAATTTCGATTTGAAGCTTTCGTGACTGCAAGGATTCATCTTCTTTGGTTCTTTCGGTAAAGTCACCACGTAGAATGAGAATAGCATAATAAAATAACACAATAAAATTCTCACGACGTTTCGGCCACAACGCAAGCGGCCGTCTTCAGGTGAAAGGTACAGAACTGTCGGGACAACATTGAAGCTCTGTCGTCCCGACAGTTCTGTACCTTTCACCTGAAGACGGCCGCTTGCGTTGTGGCCGAAACGTCGTGAGAATTTTATCGTGTTATTTTATTACGTTATTCTCATTCTACGTGGTGACTTTACCGAAAGAACCAAAGAAGAAGATAAGCGTCCTCCTCGCGGGGGGCCCGAGGCTGCCCGCGTCAAGAATGAAGGACGCATACGCGAAGACGCCTCCGAAGAAGGGTCGAGCCTCCAGTCGGCGCACCCGCCGCTCAGTAGCGCACCTGGCCGGGTCACGCTCGTGTGTCCGAGATGCCGCCTTGGCGAGCGACGGCGTGCGTCAGTTAAGAGCGGGCCGGCGGTTACCGCCTCCACGCGGAGCGTAACGTGTTGGTGTTAACAAATAGCGTCGCCTCGCCGAGAAGTTGCGTGCGCCTATCCGGGCAACGTTACACCACCGGCATTTGTTCCGTACCTTGCGCAGCCGCGTGTTGGGCAGCTTGCGCACGCGCGTCACCTTGTCCGGATCCACCCCGAGCTCCAGGCTGCACGTGTGCACCAGCGAGGCCATGGTGAGGTCCCGCCGGCTCAGCTCCACCTCCACAAAGTCCACGTCCACGGGCGCTCCCGTGCATCCGGGCTGGAGTCGAACTTTCACCACCAGCTCCTCTGCGCCGTCGCCAACGTCAACAACATCATCGTCGGCAGCATTGCCACCGACAACGTCGTCGTCGTCGTCGTCGTACAAACGCGCTACGACTGTCAATCATAAGCGACTCCATGTCTGTCGGTGACATTCGCGTCATCGCCGTCGTCATTATTGTCGTCGTCGTCGTCGCTATCACCGTCGTCACCGTTGCCGTCACCGCCGTCATCGTCGCCGTCACCGCCGTCACCGTCGTCGTCATTATTGTCATCGTCGTCATCGCTATCACCGTCGTCATCGTCGTCGTCGCCGTCGTCACCGTCGCTATCACCGTCGTCATCACCGTCCTCATTATTGTCATTATCGTCATCACCGCCGTCATCACCGTCGTCATTATTGTCATCATCGTCATCACCGCCGTCGCTATCACCGTCGTCATCACCGTCGTCATTATTGTCATCATCGTCATCACCGTCGTCGTCGCCGTGGTCACCGCCGTCATCATCGTCACCGTCATCATCGTCGTCGCCGTCACCGCCGTGGTCACCGCCGTGGTCACCGCCGTGGTCACCGCCATGGTCACCTTGGTTGATGAGGGGGTAGGCCGTTGGGAAGAAGAAGGGGTGGAACGGAGGCGCCATGCCGTGTGGAGCGCCGTTCGTGACGGCAGCCCCCTGCGCTGCCCTTGCCTGCGGTGCCGGAACCCCGGCCTGCATCAAAGACAAAGGTCCCCCGTGTAGCCTTGACAGACCGATGGGGCAAGCGGGTGGCCAGCACCACGCCCGGCCGCCTTTGTCTCCCCAGTGGCGATGCTAACACACCGCACCAGGTCATAATTTGAGGCCGAGTCGGCCTAGGGGAGGCCCAGGACCGGTTCAGACAATCGTCACCGGTGTTGACCGTGCGCGGGAATCGACTTTGGTTGGCCGGGTTCGTAGCGCAGCGCGCTGACCGCTACACCGCCGCTCCCGTGCCACGCCAGGTGCACTCTGAGGCCACGCGAAGTGTAAACAACAACAGCTGCCATTCGCCAGAACGCGGCGGTAATGTCACCGTTGTACTTGTGCCAGGCTATGTGCACTCTGAGGCCACGCAAAGTGCTGATAACTCGCTGGCAGGTCACGGGACAGACCCAGGTGCCACAGGTTCACCGACTGAGACGACCGGGAGATGCACCACCAGCTGTACCCCCCCCCCGCACTGTGCAAACCCGCTGCATTTTAGCCGCCCGTCGCTCCGCTCGTTGTGAGCGTCGCTCCTCTGCCCTCCGTTGTTGCTGGAGGTGTGACTGCCTCCCAATTGACTAGGAGCGGTGTCATTCACGAGCCTCCTCCACCGCACGCACAACCACAACACACGCCACACACACACACACACAGCGCCCGTCACGTTGGCAGTCACCGTGACTCACGGGGAGGGCCGTGGAGTCGTCGTTGTCGTTGTTATTGTTGGAGGAGGCGGACGAGGAAGCGGAGGATGCGGAGCCCCGCGTGGAATCTCTCCGCATCTCCGCGTCCACCCTCCTCCCCGCGTCGCTCACGTAGGCCAGCATGGGGCTCTGCAGGTAGTTGGGAACGATGGGCAGCTCGCCCTCCGCTGGCGCCAGTTCACGGTGGCCGTTCTCCTCCACTGCGGCAAAGAAGATTCACCCCCCCCCCCCCCCCGCGTCTCTGTAAGGTGGACCAATAATCGCCCGACGATGCCGGCCGCGTGTGGTTACCAGCGAAACGTCGTGCCCAATTGTTCGGTGCTCGCGGATTACGCTTCGACGGGCAAGGAGTAGAAATCGTGACAACTATGACGCAACGCAACAACCGCACGTCTGTGTAACAACCGCACGTCTGTGTAACAACCGCACGTCTGTGTAACAACCGCACGTCTCTGTAACTACCGCACGTCTGTGTAACAACCGCACGTCTCTGTAACTACTGTACGTCTGTGTAACTACCGCACGTCTCTGTAACTACCGTACGTCTGTGTAACTACTGTACGTCTGTGTAACTACTGTACGTCTCTGTAACTACCGTACGTCTGTGTAACTACCGCACGTCTCTGTAACTACCGTACGTCTGTGTAACTACTGCACGTCTGTGTAACTACTGTACGTCTGTGTAACTACTGTACGTCTGTGTAACTACCGTACGTCTCTGTAACTACCGCACGTCTCTGTAACTACCGCACGTCTGTGTAACTACCGCACGTCTGTGTAACTACCGCACGTCTGCGTAACTACCGTACGTCTGCGAAAAAGGATATTTTAATGCTCATCAGATTCCTCCGGCCCAAACAAATATTCTGATTTCAGACTTGACCCACGAAAAAAAAACTATCGCGAACCGCAAAGATCCTGTGCAGCCGTAGCAGACTGTCGGGGCAAGCGCCGTCAGCGAGCGGTCCGGAGGCCAGTAACGGCACACGAGGGGGTGGCGTAGCCACCAACACGCCCGGCCGCCTCTGTGTCAATGCGATGGCGCTTTCGGTGGCAGATTTGTGCCGGGAAGGCTGCCTCCACGCACTTAAGCAAACGTCAAATTGACTTGACCTGTACGTATGCACCTTGAAACTTCGTTGACTTGACCTGTACGTGTGTACCTTGAAACTTCGTTGACTTAACCTGTACGTGTGTACCTTGAAACTTCTTTGACTTGACCTGTACGTGTGTACCTTGAAAGTTCGTTGACTTGACCTGTACGTATGTACCTTGAAAGTTCGTTGACTTGACCTGTACGTATGTACCTTGAAACTTCGTTGACTTGACCTGTACGTATGTACCTTGAAACTTCTTTGACTTGACCTGTAAGTATGTACCTTGAGAATTATTTGACTTGACCTGTACGTATGTACCTTGAAACTTCGTTGACTTGACCTGTACGTATGTACCTTGAAACTTCTTTGACTTGACCTGTACGTGTGTACCTTGAAACTTCTTTGACTTGACCTGTACGTATGTACCTTGAAACTTCTTTGACTTGACCTGTACGTATGTACCTTGAAACTTCTTTGACTTGACCTGTACGTATGTACCTTGAAACTTCTTTGACTTGACCTGTACGTGTGTACCTTGAAACTTCTTTGACTTGACCTGTACGTATGTACCTTGAAACTTCTTTGACTTGACCTGTACGTATGTACCTTGAAACTTCTTTGACTTGACCTGTACGTATGTACCTTGAAACTTCTTTGACTTGACCTGTACGTATGTACCTTGAAACTTCTTTGACTTGACCTGTACGTGTGTACCTTGAAACTTCTTTGACTTGACCTGTACGTATGTACCTTGAAACTTCGTTGACTTGACCTGTACGTGTGTACCTTAAAACTTCTTTGACTTGACCTGTACGTATGTACCTTGAAACGTCTTTGACTTGACCTGTACGTATGTACCTTGAAACTTCTTTCGGCAACGTACGCAGACCAACCGTGCCAGTCGGAGTTTTCAATATTGTACAGTGGTGTAGTGTATCGTAGTGTAGTGTATCGTAGTGTAGTGTATCGTAGTGTAGTGTATAGTAGTGTAGTGTATAGTAGTGTAGTGTATAGTAGTGTAGTGTATAGTAGTGTAGTGTATAGTAGTGTAGTGTATAGTAGTGTAGTGTATCGTAGTGTAGTGTATCGTAGTGTAGTGTATCGTAGTGTAGTGTATAGTAGTGTAGTGTATCGTAGTGTAGTGTATAGTAGTGTAGTGTATAGTAGTGTAGTGTATAGTAGTGTAGTGTATAGTAGTGTAGTGTATAGTGGTGTAGTGTATAGTAGTGTAGTGTATATTAGTGTAGTGTATAGTGGTGTAGTGTATAGTAGTGTAGTGTATAGTAGTGTAGTGTATCGTAGTGTAGTGTATAGTGGTGTAGTGTATAGTAGTGTAGTGTATCGTAGTGTAGTGTATAGTAGTGTAGTGTATAGTAGTGTAGTGTATAGTAGTGTAGTGTATAGTAGTGTAGTGTATAGTAGTGTAGTGTATAGTGGTGTAGTGTATAGTAGTGTAGTGTATATTAGTGTAGTGTATAGTGGTGTAGTGTATAGTAGTGTAGTGTATAGTAGTGTAGTGTATCGTAGTGTATAGTGGTGTAGTGTATAGTAGTGTAGTGTATAGTAGTGTAGTGTATCGTAGTGTAGTGTATAGTGGTGTAGTGTATAGTAGTGTAGTGTATAGTAGTGTATAGTAGTGTAGTGTATCGTAGTGTAGTGTATAGTAGTGTAGTGTATAGTAGTAGTGTATAGTAGTGTAGTGTATAGTGTAGTGTATAGTAGTGTAGTGTATAGTAGTGTAGTGTATAGTAGTGTAGTGTATAGTGTAGTGTATAGTAGTGTAGTGTATAGTAGTGTAGTGTATAGCAGTAGTGTATAGTAGTGTATTGTATAGTGTAGTGTAGAGTAGTGTAGTGTATAGTAGTAGTGTATAGTAGTGTAGTGTATAGTAGTGTATAGTGTAGTGTATAGTAGTGTAGTGTATAGTGTAGTGTATAGTAATGTAGTGTATAGTAGTGTAGTGTATAGTAGTGTAGTGTATAGTAGTGTAGTGTATAGTAGTGTAGTGTATAGTAGTGTATAGTAGTGTAATGTATAGTAGTGTAGTGTATATTAGTGTAGTGTAAAGTAGTGTAGTGTATCTTAGTGTAGTGTATAGTAGTGTATAGTGTATAGTAGTGTAGTGTATAGTAGTGTAGTGTATAGTGTAGTGTATAGTAGTGTAGTGTATAGTAGTGCAGTTTGTAGAAGTGTAGTGTATAGTGTAGTGTATAGTGTAGTGTATAGTAGCGTAGTATAGAGTAGTGCAGTTTGTAGTAGTGTAATTTATCGTGTATTGTATAATAGTGTAGTGTGCAGTTTATAGTAGTTTATATTTATGTATGGTGAACTTCTTTCGCACCGTACCGACCCAACCGTGCTCAATCGTAGGTGCGGCTCAACTGTGCTCAAGTTTTACACACACCACGCCGGATCGGCGCGTGCGTGCTCGCCCTGCCCGGTTGCCGTCGCAACGACGCCGGCGCTGACCTCCGAGCAGGGAGAGGATGGCCACGTTGCTGGTGAGCTGCTGCGGCTTCTCCCCCTTGGCGGTGAGCGCCTCTTTGTCGGCGCCGGACTCCAGCAGGAAGGAGACGACGGACCCTCGGCCTCGCTTGCACGCCCAGTGCAGCCCCGTCCTGCGTACGCACCGAGACCAATGCGCACACACACACAGCAAGAAAGATCCCCCGTGTGGCCTTCAGACCGCAGGGGCAAGTGCCGTTAGCGGGTAGCAGCACCTATGAACGCCGAACGGCACACGCGGGGGGTGGGTGACCAGCACCACGCCCGACCGCCTTTGTCTCCCCCAGTGGCGATGTTTACGACACACGCACAAGAACACGCGCACACACACACGCACGCGAACACACACACACGCAACCACACACACGCACACGAATACACGCAACCACACGCCCACACGCAACCACACACACACGCACACACGCAACCACACACACACGTACATACACACACGAACACACACACACACACACGCAACCACACACACGAACACACACACACACACGCAACCACACACACACACGCAACCACACGCCCACACACACGAACACACGCAACCACACACACACGTACACACACGAACACACACACACACGCAACCACACACACGAACACACACACACGGACACACACGCAAACACACACGTACACACACACACAACACACCGGGGGATTCCCTTTATGGGCTGTTGGGGCAATCGCTATTAGTGAAAACCAATAAACCAACTAAGACAAACACATTGTTATTTTACCAGACAAGGCCCACTGAGCTATGTAGCTCTTATTTAGAAGCGACCTGGCCACAAATGATAGCTCAACAAAGTGGCTTATCGCGTGTAAATGATAAGCACCCAAACACTCTAAACGTGTTGTGATGTTGATTCTAAATGTGGAGGGAAAAACCAGAGGACCCGGAAAAAAATCTCCATGACCACGGGGAGAGAGACACGCAAACTCCAAATATACAGCAGCAGGCGTCGTCAGGGTCGAGATCAAACCCACGACCTCCTGTACACCAGGCGAGGTAGTTAACATCTCATAGCCACCGTGATGATGATGAGAGACACGCAAACTCCAAATATACAGCAGCAGGCGTCGTCAGAGTCGGGATCGAACCCACGACCGCCTGTGTACCAGGCGAGGTAATTAACATCTCATAGCCACCGTGATGATGATGAGAGAGAGACATGCAAACTCCAAATATACAGCAGCAGGCGTCGTCAGGGTCGGAATCGAACCCACAACCACCTGTATACCATGCGAGGTAGTTAACATCTCTAGCCACCGTGATGATGATGATAGAGACACGCAACCTCCAAATATACAGCAGGCGTCAGGGTCGGGATCGAACCCACGACCTCCTGTATACCAAGTGAAGTAGGTAACATCTCTTAGCCACCGTGATGATGATGAGAGACATGCAAACTCCAAATATACAGCAGCAGGCGTCAGGGTCAGGATCGAACCCACGACCTCCTGTATACCGGGCGAGGTAGTTAACATCTCCTAGCCACTGTGATGATGATGAGAGAGAGAGACACGCAAACTCCAAATACACAGCAGGCGTCAGGGTCGGGATCAAACCCACGACCTCCTGTGTACCAGGCGAGGTAGTTAACATCTCATAGCCACCGTGGCACCAGTGAAGGCCGGCACGGCACACGAGGGGGATTTAGCTGTGGCCAGTATCACGCCCGGCCGCATTCAGAGTATTTGGCTGCTTTAAATTTCCACTTGATAAGCCACGCAGTCGAGCTATCAATTGTGGCCAGATCGAGTGTGAACAAGAGCTATATAGCTCAGTGGGCCTTACCTGGTGAATGACAATGCATTAATAGATAAACAAATCCAACACGGAACCCTCGTCTCAGTTTAGTTTGGTCTCCTCATTTATATTTAAGCACCGCACCGGGTACACGTTTTAGGCCGAGTTGACCTAGGGGAGGCCCAGGACCCGTTCAGATATCCACGTTGGCCGCTGAGCGGGAAGGCGGCGCCGACCGCCGCCGCCCCCCTCACGCTCGCGACCCGCGCCAGCCTCGGTGCATCGGACCCACGGCACACGCACCACCCGTTGAGGTCGTTGGCCGAGTTGACGGCGACGCCCTCGCTCACGAGCCTCTTGACGAGGTCCACGTCCCCCAGGCACGCCGCCTCCCTGAGCAGCTCCTCCCGGTCCCGCTCGCTCGCCGCCTCTCCGCCTGCACGCGGAACGAATTCGTCGTACGCGCGCGCACAAAAGCGTACGTTGACTTCGCGTCACGCTCCGCGCGCACGGAAGAGGTTCGACATACTAACGTACGAACACGGATCTGCCTTGTAAAAAAAAAAAAGTCTGGAAATAATCCGTGTAATGGATGGAAATGAAACTCAAAATGTGAACCGGCTGAGACGACTTGCAGACGCACCACCTGTGCCAACTTTGCTGCGTACAAGTTAGAGCACAAGTACGCACGCTGAACTTATTTCGCACCGCACGTAGCCAACCGCGCTAGCTGGAGGTGCGGGGGGGGGGGTGTGGGCAGGACATCACACGTCATGCCGTTACATCACATTCACCCACCTTGCCTCCTGCCCACGGTACAATGGAATACACAGCTCCCTCCTGTGCCGCACATAGACAGTTAACATCGCAAATACTGCGCTGGGTATGCGAGGATAACTGGTCAGGGTGGATACGTGATGGTCGGATATTAGACGGACGAAGATTCCACTTTGTACCCGAGTGTACAATGATAAAGACCCCCCCCACCCTGTATAGCCTTAACAGAATGTGGTGTACACACACACGTATACAGTCTTAACACAAAGTAAATCACGACGTTTCGGGAGCAACACAAGCGTCCATCATCAGGTGGAAAAGCATGGAACGTCGTGATTTTCTTAATTTTATTTTCTACCTACGCGACTTTACCGAAAGAACCAAAGAGTATTGATTCCTCTGGTCACGAAAGCTTCAAATCAAGACAGTCTTAACACAGTGTACTACACCAATACACTTGTAGGGTACACGTTTGCACAGAGCTGCCGGAGCAAAGATGAAACAAAGTGAAGCCGTCTGCGCCGGCACTGCCACAGCTGTCCTAGATGGAAGAGTTCAATAAGTCACAATTCCAAAGTGGAGCAGTGCGTGGAGCGAAGCAGAAAAAGAAGTGTGGTGACCCACGCAGTGTTGGTCGAGTGAGTGAGTGGGTTGGTGAATGGGTGGGTGAGTGGGTGGGTGAGTGGGTGGGTTGGTGGGTGAGTGGGGGAATGGTTGGGTGAGTGAATAGGTGAGTGAGTGGGTGGGTGAGTGAGTGGGTTGGTGAATGGGTGGGTGAGTGGGTGGGTTGGTGGGTGAGTGGGGGAATGGTTGGGTGAGTGAGTGGGTGAGTGGGTGGGTGAGAGAGTGGGTGGGTGAGTGTTTGGGTTGTGGGTGAGTGGGGGAATGATTGGGTGAGTGAATAGGTGAGTGAGTGGGTGGGTGAGTGAATAGGTGAGTGGATGGGAGAGTGAGTGGGTGTGTATTTGGGTTGGTGAGTGTGTGGGTGGATTGGTGGGTGGGTGAGTGTGTGGGTGGATTGGTGGGTGGGTGAGTGAGTGTTTGGGTTGGTGGGTGGGTGAGTGGGCGAGTGATTTGGTGAGTTAGTGGGTGGGTGAGTGAGTGGGTGAGTGGGTGGGTGAGTGATTGGGTGAGTGGGTGAGTGAGCGGATGAGTAGCGTGTGGAGTGTGTTGTGACCTGCAGTGTAGTAGTGGACAGCGTGCAACAGTCAGTCCTAAGCATGGGTGACTGGATCGGTGAACACGATTGTAGCTAACAGTAACCATGGTACTGGAGTGCGCACAGTTGACACGTACACACACACACACACCAGGACAAATACGCACGGAAGCATGGGGCTATTACAATTCTCTCACAGCTCCGCCTCCATCGGTGCACCTAAGCCAGCAGTGGATATTCCACATTCCCACGACGGTAACCAGTCCATCCGACACCAACGGTGTTGCTTGTTTTATCTAGCCCAGTGATATTGTTAATAGTAAGTGACGATGATGATGATATATTCTTGGTTCTTTCGGTAAAGTCACGTAGAAGGGAAACGATAAAATAATAAAAATATAAAACAATAAAATTCTCACTACGTTTCGACTGCAACACAAGCAATCATCATCAGGTGTGAAAACCACAGCAAGAAAATTTGAAAAAAGTGGCGGGTTTTTTTTTAAACCGCCACTTTTTCAAATTTTTCTTGCTGTGGTTTTCACACCTGATGATGATTGCTCGTGTTGCAGTCGAAACGTCCCGTGAGAATTGCATTGTTTTATATTTTCATTATTTTATTGTTTCCCTTCTGCGTGGTGGTGACTTTACCGAAAGAACCAAGAATATGAATCCCCGCAGTCACGAAAGCTTTCAATCAAAAGATGACGATGATGACGTTTTGCTGTGCGGGAGTTCCGTGGATGGTTAACATCGCGGAGCGGTGAACGCTTTAGGAGGCGGCCTTCATCCAGCAGTGGAGTGACTCTATGGCCGGTGGCAATTATTTATTTCTTCAGCGAATTCTTTCACACGTGGCTGTCCATACAGTTAGTTAAAGCGCCGGATACGCAAGCAAAAGAAAATCGACGATCATGGATCATGGACGGAAAAAATAGCACGCACAATAATTCACGGATATCAATGGGAAATTCCACAATCGCATGACAAGTGTTGACTTTGCACATAGTGATATCTCGTTTGATACACCCCCCCCCCCCTCCCAAGGTGGTATGATTACGGCAATGCCGGTGGTACGAGCGAATTGACAAACATGACAATAGCATGAGGAACGCACACCATCTGTCCAACGATGGACGATATGGATTAACGACCACGAACGTTTAACACCAATTCGTGAGCAATCCGTGAGCAATTCGTTAGCACACAGTGTAACTTAAAGTCCTGTTAGGACAACCATCGCAAATTGTCCTGTCTCGCAGAAGAGCCATCCACGAGGGAAGCACACGCTGCTCCAGGAAGACACTCTTCACTACACTACACTATACACTACACTACTATACACTACTATACACTACTCTTCACTACACTGCACTATACACTACTCTTCACTACACTATACACTACTCTTCACTACACCATACACTACACTACTATACACTACTACACTATACACTACACTACTTTACAATACACTACTCTTCACTACACTACGATATACACTACTATACACTATACACTACTCTTCACTACCCTACTATACACTACGATACTACTATACACTACACTATACAACTATACTACTATACACTACACTACTATACACTATACACTACTCTTCACTACACGACGATATACACTACACTAGTATACACTACTCTTCACTACACTACTATAAACACTACATTAATATACACTACATTACTATGCACTACACTACTATATACACTACACTACGATACACTATACACAACTATACAGTACACACTACTATATACACTACGATACACTATACACTACTATATATACGATACACTATACACTAATATATACACTATACACAACTATACACTACACACTACTATATACACTAGGATACACTATACACTACACGCAACTATACACTACTATACACCACGATACACTACTGTACACTACACATTACTATAAACACTACTATACACTACACACTACTATATACTAGACACTACTATTCACTACACACTACTATATACACTACACACAACTAAACACTGCACACCACTATATACACTACGATACACTATACACTACTATACACTACACTGTACACTACTACAGTATATACAACACTGTACAATGGACACTACACTGTATACTACTAATTCGTGAGCAATTCGTTAGCACGCAGTGCAACTTAAAGTCCTGTTAGGACGACGATCGCAAATTGTCCTGTCTGGCAGAAGAGCCATCCACGAGGGAAGCACACGCTGCTCCAGGAAGACACTCTTCACTACACTATACACTACACTACTATACACTATACTACTATACACTACTACACTACACTACTATACACTACACTATACACTATACTACTATACACTACACTATACACTACACTACTATACACTACACTACTATACACTACTCTTCACTACACTACGATATACACTACACTACTATACACTACTCTTCACTACATTACGATATACACTACACTACTATACACTACTCTTCACTACACTACTATACACTACGATACTACAATACACTACACTACGATACTACAATACACTATACTACTATACACTACACTACTATACACTACTCTTCACTACATTATGATATACACTACACTACTATACACTACACTACTCTTCGCTACACTACGATATACACTACAATACACTATACACTACTCTTCACTACACTACGATATACACTACACTACTATACACTATACTACTCTCACTACACTACTATAAACACTACACTACTATACACTACACTACAATACACTATATGCAACTATACAGTACACACTACTATATACACGACACACAACTACACTACACACTACTATATACACTACGATACACTATACACTACTACACACTACGATACACTATACACTACACACAACTATACACCATACACAACTATACACACACTACTATATACACTACACACTACTATACACAACTATTCACACTACTATATACACTACACTACTAGATACACTACACACTACTATATACACTACGATACACTACACATTACTATACACACAACTATCCACTACACACTACTATATATTAGACACTACTATACACTACACACTACTATATACACTACGATACACTACACATTACTATACACACTACTGTACACGACACAATACTATATACTAGACACTACTATACACTACACACTACTATATACACTACACAATACTATATACACTATACGCTACTATACACTACACTGTAAACTACTACAGTATACACAACCCTGTACAATTGACAATACACTGTATACTACTAAACCCTACACTGTACACCACTAAACACCACACTACACTGTAAACTACACCACACTGTGCACTACTACACTGTACACTACTAAACCCTACACTGTACACTACAATACACGAAACACTGTACACTACTAAACTGTACACCACACCACACTGTGCACTACACTTTACACTACTAAACACGAGACTGTACACTACTATACACTACACTGTACACTACTATACACTACACCGCACACTACTATACACTACACTGTACACTACTATACACCAAACTACTGAACACTACTACACACTCTACTGTACACTACTATACACTACTATACACCAGACTGTACACTACTATACACTACACTGTACACTACTATACACTACACTGTACACTACTAAACACCAAACGACTGTACACTACTACACACTACACCGTACACTTCTATACACTACACCGCACACTACTATACACTAAACTGTACACTACCAAACACCAAACTGTACACCACCAAACACCAAACTGTACACTACTACACACCACACTGTACACTGCTATACACTACACTGTACACTACTATACACTACACTGTACACCACTAAACTACTGAACACTACTATACACCACACTGTACACCACTATACACTACACTGTACACTACTAAACACCAAACGACTGAACACTACTAAACACCAAACTACTGAACACTACTACATACTACACTGTACACTTCTACACACTACACTACTACACTGTACACTACCACACACTACACTGTACACTACTAAACACCAAACGACT